ACTGGGCGAGTGCGCAACCTGGCATCGCGTTTACTCATCTTTTATCCCGGTCTGCGAGGAGGAAACGGACCTAGATCGGTGGTCGACTTCCACACTACTTGCGTGAAATGTATATAGGTGGGGTTCGAAGGATCGTAATCCGCTGAAATCCAGGTTTGTGATGCGTCAAATGTGCTCGCACGACGTACATTTATCCAACGTAAACTGCTCTACCGCGGTGGCGATCGCGAATTGACCTGTTGCAGCGACGATGTTCTCCCCGTACGGGAAGCTGAGCAGGGATCCCGAGGAATGCTCGAGACGGCATGTGCTCGCCCATTGCGCGGCAGCATCAGCCAAAGTCTGGTTCCATTGCTGCGTCCCATGAGCGTCGGAGAGACCATCGCAAGCGCCAAACACGCACCAGGGGGACTGCATTGTGATTGATACGAACTTGGTTGTGCCCCAGAAGGTATGCGTTGGCTTCAGGCGAGCCGAGCAGCGCTCCAGTCAAGTCTCCCACAGTGCTTCCCAGCTTTCCGACGGCATCCCCCACGCTTCCGAGGACAGTGTCCTGCACTCCGGTGACGCCGACAGCCAGAGTGGCAAAGGCAAGGAGTGTGAGGCGGAGCATGAAGGTATGGCAAACGAGTGTGGGCGCGGTGTACGGAGCAGAAAAGAAGGCAACGAGCCAATTTCATCTCGGCGCCAATTATAGTCATCTTCTCACGCGTGCATCCGCTCCACTTGGACACTTGGCCTCCCGGACAAGGCGGCGCGTGAGTAGCGTACTTGAGCTTGGAACGCGACTGTTTGCGGAGATTCGCAAATGTCGCGTCGGGACGAAGGCGGGGGAGACGCGATCGACGATTCAGGGGACTCAAATGCAAGCCAACCTTTTAGGAGCGATCGAGGACAGCAACGCCAAGCCATAGATCAAGCGGCCCACCACTTCCAAGAGAGGATAAGCTGCAGCATTAAATCTACCACAGCTACGATTAGGGCAAGCCCTATAAGAGTAGTGGCAGGATGCTGACAGATCTCGCAAGGAAACACATCATTGCCGATGATCTGCCACTCTGATTGCAACCCGATAACTCGCAAATGAGAGCGCATTCATTCTTGTGCAAGGCATGCCCAATACATAACGGTACCACATATCTCTCTCCGTGGCATGCCATCCCCCAAGAGACGATAGCGAACGACTGGGAAAATTTTGGCCAGCGCGCCTCTCAAGATCGCGTCGCAGGGCGGATGTTGTATTCACGTTTGAAGGCGTCTAGGTCCTCTTCTTTCGTCTTGTACTGGTCTGTCATCGTTGTGATGATGTTCCTTATCTGGTAATGAAAATGAGGCTCGAGGAAGGGAAGGATGTGAAGGGAGATGTAAGCTCGCACCCCGTCTTGATTCGTCTGTAACGCGGGTACAACATCTTTCACGGTACGTTCCACTAGGACGCCTCCGATGAGACGGAAACATTTGCGATCGGGGTCACTTGTGAGCGCCTCGTTCAGTGTCCCCAGGACAAGTCTATTCGAAGGTTTTTGAGCGGCACGAGACTGAAGCACAAGAGTCAATCGCATACGTGTGTTCGTCTGCCTCAGACTCCAGTTCCCCGATCTTGCTCGCTATCGCCTGGAGTTCATTTTGCATGCGCGAAAAATTTTGCGTTATCTCTGGCTGGGACGGTTCAAGAGATGTCCCTAACTTCAGAAACCCTGGATGCGCAACATACCCTGGTCGGAAAGTGGAGTCGGTTTGGCCTTGGCCTTGGTCGTACCTGCACTAGATGACATGGTGGGGGTGAGCAATCGGGCTTCAATGATTGGGTCAGGTGTCACGGATCACTGTGTGACAAGTCACAACCACTTCTCTTTCCGGCTGCTGGCAAACGGCGGTGGTCGACAATGCCGCCGCTCCCTTCCCGCCTCCTCGTGCCCGTAGGGCTCTACCGCGCCCTCGCAACACCGCAGGCTCCCCGTCTTCTTGCCATCTCGCGCCGCTACCAATCCACCGAGACCCAGCACCCCACACATGCCCATGGCCGTCATTCCCTGAACCCGAATTACCTGGAGAGCGCCGACGGCCTTATCAGTGACCTGACCATCAAGAAGCACCACAAGTCGAAGACCCCTCGCAAGTTTGATGCGCAAGGGAACGAATTGGACGCATACGCGGGGGGACCCAGCGCCGTTGACAAAGCCGTGCACCTCTTTTTCTTCACGGAGATCATTCGTGGTACGTTCCTCATGTCACTATCTTCCAACCCAGTCTTCTCGTGTTTCGAACCAAAACTGATCAATTGGAACGCTTATATAGGCATGTGGATTGTTCTGGAGCAATGGTTCCGGCCACCGTACACCATTTCGTACCCTTTTGAGAAGGGCCCCTTGTCGCCTCGTTTCCGTGGAGAGCACGCTCTTCGCCGTTATCCCAGCGGAGAAGAGCGATGTATCGGTGCGCTTGCTTGCGCTTCGGTACTGTTTGTCGGAACTAACCGGAGATTGTCAGCGTGCAAACTTTGCGAAGCCATCTGCCCTGCTCAGGCGATCACAATCGAAAGCGAGACGCGTATGGATGGATCCAGGAGAACTACGAAATACGGTGCGCATATGTCCATTCTTTTATTGCTCTCTTAGAGGCTGAGCCTCGCACGCGTAGATATCGACATGACCAAGTGCATCTACTGTGGATTCTGCCAAGAAGCATGCCCTGTTGATGCCATCGTAGAGAGTGCGCATACCGTCCATCTACTAGCCGTTTACTGATCCTGTTTCGCGTAGCACAAAACCAGGAGTTCTCCACTGAGACCCGTGAGGAGCTCTTGTACAACAAGGAGAAGCTGCTCGCCAACGGAGATCGTGCTGAGGCAGAAATTGCGGCCAACTTATACTGTGAGCATTGACATCTTCATCGCGCCCTTCCTTTCACTGATAATTGTGCAGCTGAGCATGTTTATCGGTAAACCTTGCACTGTTCTCGTTAGAGTAATATCAAATGAAAGTGCGGATGCCATTGCGAGCGTGAACGTGACCGGTCAAGTGTTTGTTCAACGTTGCAGCGCCTCGTACGCAAGGAATGGAAGAGATCTATTTTCTAAACTACTGTGCGCACAGATTTTAGACCCTGGACGCTCAGAACCGATTGGGACAAATCGCCAAGAGGAAAAGCTTATTCGCACAGGTACATGGAATAGAAGAAGAAGCGAGTTTTGCTGTACACGAGCAGTGAACGAAGCGGGAACAGAAGGATGGAGAAATCGAAATCGACAACGGCCATGGGGGGGATGGTGAGTGCCGAATCGGATTTTGCCACACGGGGACAAAGCGACTGAGTCACACGAGAACAAGCGATCTGGCCACACGCGGGCAAAATGGGGTGAGGGATGTATGAAGGAAAGCTGGCAGGCCGGCAACGCATACTTGCCGGCAGCTGTACCGACCTTTAATATGACAGACGGCTGTAGCTTGTTAGACTCCAGCTGGGGTAGAGAGTGCGGGGAACGCACCACATGCACTACTATTGAGCCGTGTTCGGACCGTTGTGGCGTCCAGATTATTCTCTTGCTGACACGCATTCTTCTCATCTGCAAGATAACAGACTCGCTATATGTGGATGGATGTGCCTGGAGAGGATGTTGGAAGCTACCCGCGTAGCGGAGAACGATACACTTGCCACATATAAGTATGCTGTTGTCGGAATATAGCAAACAGTCTTGAAGCAATCTCGGTTCGATGTACACATAGAAATCTTCAATGGCATCCTCGGCCGTCCGGGTAGAGCAGATCGAACTTGACAGTACCCCAGTTACTCATGCAGACAGACGAACTCCATCAAATCGCTGGGCAGTCTCGACTTCATCAGGGTGCGCGCTTTCGGCCAAGGATACGCCAGTCGTCCCTCACCGTCTTCCCCATTGTCATTTATATGTAACTGTAACGGCATTTGTCGCCGCGACATCCGAGCTGTGCCTCGCCCGCCGTTTCACTGCGCCCCGGAGCGAACGAGCTCTGAGAACTGCCCATCCGGGGCTCTTGATTAGGCACGCCTGAGTCGTGAGACATCGTAGCACAGCGCAAGTACTGCCGCCGCGCCCCGAACATTGCCACGCTTGGTCGTGCGCCCTGGACAGATGCAGCACGGGTCTTCCTCCGTGAACGCAGTTCCCCGGGTCATCATGGACGAGCGCAGTCATCGCCCGACCCTCTATGGGATCTGGTGTAGGAGAAGAGCCAACCCTGTAAGAGGAAGATAAGATGATACGGGCTGCGCATGCGATCACAGCTACAAAAAATGCGATCCATGGAGCCTTGAAAGCCCGGCGATGACATTACCGTCAAATTCAGCGAGCTTCAGAGCCAATGCGGGAACAACAGAGTGCAGTCCATGTGTTTAGTCGAGTTCAAGCCGAAGGGAGAGGGTGAGACGAGCGGCCGATCTTCCTTGTCGGAAACAGGTGGCTTCTACGGTCATCATGTCATGGGGCACAGGAGAGCTGTGCCTAGACATTGGAATGCCCCATCACACAAGGTGGAGTCGCCTCAGTCCGTGCCTCAGTCCGTGCCTCAGCCTTCGAGTGCCGTTGCCCGCCTTAGAACAATCAACATTCCACGAATCAAAGACACAGACACAGCCCCGGCTCGAGGATCAAATCTAGAGACGAGATCGATTCGGGGACAGCGTAGCCTTGAAACACCGAGCGGCGAGTCAACGACTACAAGGGGGGACATGCAACTGAACAAGAAAGGGCCGTGGTGCGTGTCGGCCGATAGTGGGGTCGCGGCGATTGCCGACATTGCTAGTTCCGGGCGGCCAAGCTGTTGTTTCTTACGAAACACCGATCTCTGGTCAATCCGCAGTGAGTAAGTACGCCGTCGTCTTCCAATCCTCATGATCACTCGACATTGATTTATCTCACAAGATCTTGATAGGCCACAGTTGTATGCCCGTCTGTTACAGGTGTTATGTGAGCGCGACGTCGCAATCATGTCAAGGCGTTTCAGAATTCTTGCACAGAGTAATCAGACAGACGCGAATCATATTAGAATTAAAACGCCCAAGCAGCGGAGAACAAAATATGGTCGAGGGAGTATTTAGTAGCGGCGATCATCATAGCGGCTCCTACGGTCTCTGTCATCGCGATCATAGTCGCGCCCACGATAGTCGTCTCTACGGTCGTAGTCGCGTCTGTCGTAGTCACGTCTGTCACGATGATCGTCATAGCGGCCTCCGCGACGGCGGTCGTCATTATCCCGACTGTACCGAGAGTCGTATGGCCGAGGGTCGTACGGGCGCTCATCTGCCAAGCACGTCAAGTCAAGAAGGATCGAATGAAACACAAGCTACCGTCTCTTTTGGGAGGGCCATAGTAACGACCCGGAGTCGGCGTGCGAGCACGACCGCGACGAGCCTGGAAGAAGGTGAGAAAATCTGCATCGCTGACACATACATGGGACGGACCTTCTGGATATTGAGAGTCTTCCCCGCGAGCTCAGTTCCGTTCAATGACGCGATCGCAGCATCAGCTTCCTCCGGAGTCTCCATTGTCACAAATCCAAAGCCGCGCGAATCACGGGTGTGAGGGTCGTACATAATCGACGCCTTTTGAACCTGAAAACAAGTGAGCGAGTGCGATTCACACCGAGCAAGGTACATACGCGACCAATCTTGGCGAACGCAGCTTCCAAATCGCGGGTCTCGAGTCGGTGGCTAAGACCAGACACGTGAAGGTTGTTGCCCGGGTTCTGTCCAGCGCTAAAATACGAGAAGCACGATAAGCTCAAGCTTGGATACACTTCGGGCATCATACCTCTCGCGCGCAGGGCTGCGACTGCGACTGCGACCGCGCCGTCCGTCGCGTTCATCACGACTATCACGGTCCCGGCCGTTGGCACCCCACGTTTCACCGCTATCGGCAAGCGGCGTCTCAGCGGGAAAGTGGATCCCAGTCGTAGCGGAATCTTGCGACTGCCAGGCTGTAGGCAGGTGTGAGTAGGGCGTTATTGACATAAGATCCGCGGAATGGTGAAGAAGTGGGTGGTCGTAGGCGCAAGTGAGAGAAAACGAGTCGGAGTATCGTATCATATCTTAGTAAAGTCGAAGAAAGCCAGGAAAACATGAAAGACAGTGCCGACCAAAGCGCCGCGCTGCATCCGCAGAGCATATGCAGCAGCTGTTTTGGGTGACTGCGTCTCGTCGAACATGAAAGTGACGCCGCGAGCCAGGCGAGGCGATGCAGTTTACACGTCGTCCAATTGTCCGCAACACAACCACTGCAGCGTATGAAGCACACTACGAGGTGGGAAGGAGAGCGCCACAAACAGACGTCGTAGGTGAAAAGAGCGCAGGCGGTAATTACTGAAGTGCTGATACTGAAGGCGAAGAGGCGAAGGCGATGTCCGTACCGTCTTCCATGATTGGGCTCGAGAAAGGTTGTAGAGTTGGAGGGCACTGGACAAGCAGTTGTGCCGTTGACGTTGGCGCTGTAGGGGATTATTTGGGAACACGCTTACATAATCAAGTAGGTTCACGATGCACGTGATGCACACCCCTAAAGCACGGATGATTACAACTTTGAAAGTTGATGTGACTCTCCTGTGAAGTTCAGCGAAGAGACGAGGACGGCAACAGCATCTATGTTTTCCTTATCTGTACTTGTCTTCATTCCTCTTTGAAGCCGAGATCCCATGGACCATAGTTAGTCAGGCTGCTTGACGCAAATGTAACAATTCTAGCGGCCTGAAATCTGTTCCTCGGACTAAAGTGGCAAAAGAGCCCATGACTCGCAGAATCTAGATATCTCATAACACTGCTGTGTTCCGCAGCACAGTCTAACTGCGGATCGTCCAAGCTCAGAAGGACAATCTGAAGCCCGCCGGATGATCTATTGTAAATCCTTGCGGCTCGGAGCAATACATCTGCAAGTGAGAGAACCAGATTACCAGAGAAAACTCGCGTAAGTATTACGCCCAGACAAGGATTCGCGATGCCCGAAGCTCGGAGCCCGAGCCCTTTTTGCATCACTTGACTAGATATCTCCAACCAATTATGATCTCCTGAGCTAATGCAACCGAAGAACACTCTCTTCTCCTGCTCGACCCACGCCGCTCGATCTCTGAATCTGTCGCGCCCTTCGAGCCGTATTTCCTGTATGAAGGGCTTCTACTGGCAGAGACTGCGGTACTTGCCGCCAAGAATCCAGAAAAGGAAAGTTGCACGGGATTGGCGCAAATGCGATGTTCTAGCGAATAACGAGCGGATCACAGGAGATTAGCTGCATTCATAAGCACGTGGTATCGTACGTACAGCCGGAGCATATCAGGTATAGAGCAGTCAGTATGTCACTAGTGAATCTACCTACTAGGAGTGGAGAGAACAAAGTCTAGCAATACACGGAGGTAGTATAGTTAGTATACACGGCGGTGTCCAGAGAGGATAAATATGCCACGAATATAGGGCATGAGCGTCGAGAAAGTCATCAATGGGTCGTAAGAAAGGACTGCATGGGCATAGGTCGAAAGAAAGCGGGAAACGAAAGACTAATGGCGCAAGCTTCACGAGCGGAAGACGCGCCCGCTGTGGGTCGCCTCACCCTCGCTTTCCGACTCCAGTTTAATCGAAGGGAAAGCGGGACTGCTCGACAACGGCAGGAAGCTGAAGTTGATGCTGGACATGCTGGATCCGAAGTTGGTCGCGCCTTCCTCGTATAGACGACGAGCAGCTTCATATTCCATCTTTTCTTGTTCAGCCTGGGCAAGGAAGGGCTGGGACGCGTCAGCATATGTCTGCAGGACATGGCCGATTGACAAACCTTCTTCTCGTCATCAGACATGGCCCTCCACCAGGCAGCAGCCAATATACTCTGCTTGGTCGTCTCCGTCTCTTCTCCAAAAACTTCTCGGACAAGAGTAGGATCGGCCCGGATACGTTGGAGGAACATGAAATACGCGCTCAGAGGCTTCTTCGGCGCATTCGGGTCCTTAATGTTACTCTTCCGTGACTTGCCGGCCTTGCGCTGGGCGGAACGGAACGCGTTCTCGCGCTTGATATCATCCGGGGTCAGCGAGCGCAAGTAAGCACTATGCTCCCGCTCCCGCAGATCTTTGGCTGCCTGCGAGCGCTGCTTGTAGGGCTGCGGATGGCGTAAGCAGGGGTGGTCACGTCAAAGGAATGCATCCGGACCTCCTTCTCCTCTTCGCTCAATCCGGCATAATCTTGTCCGGCTTCCTTTGCCGCTTGGGCCACATTGAGCTTTCGGTGGCTTGAAGCCTGCTGTCGTTGGATCCAGTCGGTGAAATAAAGCTGCCAGGCAGATGGCGCCAACTTGGGAGGTCGGAGCAGAGATTTCTGGGGAGCTAGATACGGATCAGATCAGTGGACAGTGAGCATGGCAAGCGGGACGGACCGTTCGAATCAACTGCACCGCCCTGGTCGCTATCCTCCGAGGGAATCACTCGTTTCCGCCGTCGCACAGTGGCATCACGATCCTCGATGTCGAGCGGCGTTAGAGACTCGGCCCGGCGACTGTACGACCGGAGGATGTTGATGCCGTTGGGCCCCGCCGACGGTGCACTACTGGATCCTGGGAACGCCAGACTCGACTGCGAGTTGCGCCGCACGCGGTCCGTCGTGAACGTCAGCGGCGAATGCCGTGAAGATGACCGCGGCGATGACAGAGTCCGATGATGTCCAGCGCGTGGTGGGGATCCTGGAGCATGTGTATCCCACAGCTGAGAAGCCCATGCCGGCCGCTGGGTGTCGTGTGGTGAGATGGAGTCACCCAGCGTATGGTTCCGCGGAACCGCGAAGTCAGATGCATGTTCCTCGAATGACGATGCAGGTGAGTAAGACCGTGGCAGCGCAGCTACCAGTGCTGACGGTGAGAAGGGCGTGCGCATATGGGTGTCCATCGGCGACAGCCCATGGCTGCTGTACGAAATGAACGATGGCGACTGCGGTCCCGACGAGGGAATTGGGATCGGGGAGGACGGAGACGGAATGGGTGATGTGTCGATCTCGCTGCCGGGCCGCGCCCATTGGCCCAAGTAGGGACTATCTGCTCCGAATCCTAACGAGGACTTCGGCAAGGTAAGTCCGGGGAGGCCATAGTACATGGTGTTTCCTGTCTGATATAGCATCGATGGCTGAGCAGTGTGGAGGTCAAGATCGTGCTCCTCGAAAAATGGCTTGTACTCCAGTACTTCCTCGCCCGTCGAGTCGTAGCCAACGGAGCCTGGTGGAGGGAAGTCGCCATCGAAATCGAAAAGGAGGTCGTCCGAGCTCGATACTGCCATGAGCTGGTCGTCCTCGGGATAGTTCAGGTATGCAGACATGGTATCCTTTTCGAGAATGGAATCAGAGAGCGTGTCGGACGCGTCGCACAGGGATTTGAGTCTCACAAGAGTGCCCGGCATCGGAATGGTGGAGTGAGAGCGTAAGGTGTGTGGTTTATATGGAGCCCAGCGAGGCACTGCACTGCGCGACGTGGGTGACTGATGTCGAGAGGGAGAAGATCGAATCATAAGTTGTCGGATTCCATGCTTAAGAGGGATACGCCATCGAGCTAAGTCCATTTTGGGCGGTGGCTGACTCCGGATGACTGCCCGAGAGCAGAGATGAGGTGTGTGATAGTTTGGATGATGATTCAATCTTGATTTCGAGACGTGTCTCCCGTGCAGAAGTCTGTCCGTATCAGGACTGGATTCTTTGCAGATCTGGAACGCGGTTGTTACTTGGGCAAAACTTGGCAAGTTCGTCGGCGATCCTTCCAAACTCTCTCGAGAACATACGCAAACGGCGTCCCTCCCGAGCAGAAGCGGTGCGCGTGCGTCACCGAGTTCTTGGAAACAATGGGCTGGAGAGAGATCTGGGAACGACGAGATTCAAATCTGGAATGGAAGAAAGGGAAAGGCGCAAAAAAAGGCTCTGCCTGCTATGTTTGGAAGGAACAAACCAAGCTAACGGCACCAAAAGTGCCGGCACGGATTCCGAGATCCTAATGCGGATGGGCTTACACCTCGGATATGTGCTCAGCGTTTGTAAGAGAGGATTGGACGGTCGCCGTGCAAGACAATTGTTGATTACAATGATCTATCTAAGCAGAGGACCGCAACTACGATCATCATATGTCCGGAGTCTTGTATTGAGGGTTGTTGTAGACAGATTTGCCGGGCTGGGGAGATAAGAATGGGATATGGAGGTGGCGGAGAGAAGTGAGAAGACTCGAGATCAGCTGCCAGCCATCGGTATCGCATAGGAGTGCTTACCACCCAACCCTTCACATCTTTCATTATCTCTGCTTCGAATGCTGCGCTGGCCTGCGCCTGATGATATGCGGCACGGTCTCCTTCCGCCGCAAGAAGAGGTACGAGATGTATTCTTGCCCAGGCTTTCTCTCGCTTCAGTTCTCTGCGAAAGATTGAGTTAACCCGCCTCCGGAGAAACATCAGCTGGCCAGAGCCAGGCTCATCTGCTCCGACTCGGACCGGAGGTACGATAAGCTGGCGCAGGTGGCGGCCGGATCCAGTTGGCCACACAAGACCACATAAAGAGCTCATCGAGACACGTTTCACGACCGGAGCAGCCAGGTGATTCGAGAGATGACGAGATGACTGACCTACCTTCTTTCGATGTTACCCAGTCCAAGACGGTAAAACCCGAACGTGCAAATGGCCGTGACGCCGCCGAGAATCACCAAAGCTCCGGGCCCACGCAGGGGTAGATTCCGTTTGTATTTCACGGCCTCGAAACCTCCCGCCGGTGGAAGATCCCTGGAATTAATGAGTTCGGACGTGAAATATAGAGTATGACAGAGGAACGCACTGCCTGTAAGGGGCCGACACTAAAGTTTGTCAGACGAGTGAAAATGGAAGTTAGAGAAAACTGAGCGCACTGGTCGTTGTCGAAGACAAGGTATAGTTTTGTTTGCTTGCGTTAGTCTCTCACGATGTCGAATGTGATGTTGAACGGATTAATCTGTCTGTGACGTTTCCGTTGCTAGACTGCAGGGCTTGCAAATGAAAGGATGCGGTATATGTGTGCTCAAACACTCTTGAAACGACTTGACGGAATGTTTCTGGGCGGCGACGTTGCGTCACGGTGCAACTTTCCTCTTTGAGCATGGACTGATTCGGACGTGATTGATTTTGCTGGCCTCTCAAGCTGTCAGAGGACTGGCGCTGTTCTGTCTGGAACCATGGCGGCCCTCCCAACTCCTCCACTCATTCCTCCCCCTGGCGTTCCACTGAACGTGCTCCCGTCGCGCCAGAACTCTCAAAATTCTTTTGCTCCCGTGGGAATAGCTGCAGGCGCGGAAGACGTCAAATATCAAGCCAAGTACAAGGACCTCAAAAGAAAATTGAAGGAGATTGAAGCGGTGCGTCTGCGCCCACCCTTCTCGTTATACCTAGCCTCATACAATACTCTACGTAGGACAATGACAGGCTTCATTATCGAGTGCTTCAAGCCAAACGTAGCATCCAGAGAATGAAGATCGAACGCGCGTGAGCCACTCCATCTATTCACCATGTAGATACAAACTTGCCTCAACTTCATTTCAAATAGGGTCCTCTATGAACGATTACAGCTTGTCCCGACGTCGCCAGAGCCACAAGAAAGACACACCCACTCGTCCGTCCACCCAAGTCCCGGAATGCAAGGACCGCAACATCATGCTATGGCTCCTAATCATATGTCTGCGCGAGATCTAGAGGAGTACAATCGGGGCTCACACCCTCGGTCTGGGCCCGTAGAATCGCCGCGAGGTCCCGGTAGTCATCCCCGACGCGGTTCAGGAGGAATACCAGGACAGCCACAACTACAATTCATGCCTCAGCAGTTTGCACCCGCTCCACATGAGCCACATCGAAATCACGCGCCTCCACCCGTCGCCCATTCCAGCCCGGCACTGCATGCCCACGAACGCACACGATCACCTTCTCGTGGACGAGGGCACTCCCTCAGTTCTCAGCAGCAAGTCTATCACCCTTCTCCATATGGCGACCCACCTCCGCTTCACAGTCCTCCGCTATCCGATCGCGGCCGGTCGCGACACGAGATGCATGAGCCGGTCCATCGTCATCAAAACTCGCTTCCCCCACTGTCTCCACCTGCCGGGCGCATTCATCCTCATCAACGCATGGGGCCCGGAACGTATATTAATCGCGAAGAGCCGATGCCTGAGAGAGATTGGGACCGTGAGCGACGCGACGCACCAATGGATGCGCGATCTCCAAACTCCGCAAACCGATCCCGGGCTGAGTATCCCGATACCCATCAAAACCGTCGTCGCGAGGAAGCAGGTTACTTTGGTGACCGACCTGCCTATTCGCGCTCGGATAGCCCCGGCTCTCGCTCAGGATCTGGCTCGGGCGCAGCCGAGGGAGTTCCCTCTCGGCCAGATTCCCGCACGCAGTTCTATCCAGAAGCTGAGCGAGGACCTGCAAGTGGCGCACCCCGGACTTCATTCAGATTGCGGCCTGTCGGCGGAGAGGAGGTCGATTTCGGAGCAGGGAACACACCGCCGCCTGCGGTAGATTCGCGAAAGCGGAGCAGGAATGAAATGGACGTCGACAGTGAGGAGCCTTCGGTGGGCTATCCAGAGACCAGAAGCTCGAAGCGCTTCCACCAAACTTGAGGGATTCTTACATATCTACAGTATCTAATTGATTCTCTTCACATCTTGGAACGGACATGTACTTTACCCTCGCCGTCGCTTGCTCAAAATGTTTTCGATGATGGCGCGTCTCACAATGTTCTAGTATTTATATTGGAAATGAAGCACACACCGACTACCGCAATTGGCAGTGGTTGTTGTGGCAGAAGATCGCGGATGCTCATCTGACCCGGGCGGAACCTGACAAATGCAATGCAGCGCCACGGCAGCATTCGTCTCAGACTTACGGAGACTTGGATCTGTCGATCTCTTGCGAAACAGGGATATGCCGGAGCGATAAGATAGCATTGCCGCATTCGATCACGACAGTGAATGTCAGAATTAGTGCCTGCCCTCGAGTAAATCACAGATTAATCGCCCCAAGTCGCGGTCAGGCGCTCCGAAGAAACGGGAAAGTGAGAGAGCACGGCTGAGGCGGGTTCTCCGCTACTACAGATTGCAGCTTGATCTTGCCAGTAGGAATCGACATCTTGCTGGGTCAAGAAGCGGTAATTCCAGCGACAGCGTGTCCGGCGAGCAGAGTCGATTATGGCCTGCAGGAATTCATCATTGTCAGCGACAGTCGGGCCCTTGAGATCCATCACGACATCCATTATTGAAAGCGTTCGCTGGCCGAGGGGGACCGTCTCGCGCTCACGTGCCACATGCTGTCGAGCACGCGAAAGAAGCATACTTGCCGTTGTCTGACAAGAGGTTGCCGTGGCGTTGCTTGACGAATGGCTGTGCGACGAGCTGTCACGGCGAGCGCGCTTTGTCGTAGTGGCGGAGAGCATGGCCAACACAGACGACGGGCGCTTCCTGGTTGACAACTGCTCGAAGCGGGTAGCTGCGGATAAATCACTCTCGCGGAGGCTCGAGGAACGTTTTGCGATTGGCGCAGGAGAAGATGGAGCCACGTCGTGTGGTTCTGCTGTTGGCTTGCTCTTGGTCCGGTAAGATAGCCTCGGAGAAGACGATCGGACGCTTCGACGAGATGACTGTTTTTGTAAAGGCGTCCTATGCGACGAGAATGAACGGTCAGGTGCTAAAAATACAAAGATAGAAGCTCTCACCCCCGGCGCGAAAGGGTTTCGTGTTGGTATTTCAACGGTGATCCCGCTGCTCCAGGATTGAGAATGACTTGGATGTCCATCGCCAGGGCAGATCTAATCAGCGTGGACAGATTTAGACAGTGGGCTAGTTTGTGGGAGTGGCTGGTGTGAAGAGAGGAGCGTGCAGTCTGAGACAGTCCAGGTAGTAGATAGGGGCTTCTTTCGGCTACAACGATGCCCTTCCTAGCCATCGAGACGACGAGAGATAAGTGCTGCAGACAAGGAAAGCTGGAAATGACGCTCATTTGCGAGCTCACGTCGGCTCGCGCTGCAGCATCTCCGACAAGACCGAATCTGTTCCACGGCCCGGTACCGCTTGCCGACGGACAGGTCGACGAGAGTGACACAGGTCAGACCACGGTGATCTTCACAGTCGCGTCTTGGTGGATGCGTTTCGCCTTCCCGAGGCAACTTTCACACAAAATATGTGCTGATTTTGAAGCCAAGTGTATCTTCGGCATCTTGACAAGAGAACAACCAGAAGCAATAGAACTCAGACTGCGGAGGGAGGAATGATTGCAATCTTCCCGATATGAAAGCCTCTGCGAAAGTGGCGGACTGAGTTACGTCACGGGGTCGAGGCCATTTCGGTCTCGGTAGCACGTTGCCTCTCGGGCTGATCAAGAGCTCCAGGCAAGCAGCTCAGCACTATTAAGGTCTCGACGGCCAAGAACGAGATTGGGCTTCAAAATCAACGGCCGAAACATCGAGATTCCGCACACCGACAGCCGAGAGCGCAAGAAATGCGACTCGCTGTCCGTGGAAAAAAAAACTTGCGAGACCTGGGTCAATCACGAAGCTTGTCAGCTGGACGACAGTATGTCTGGAGTCAATCAGCATCTGGCGCAGCGGTTTGGGAAGAATATGATCGGAATGGAAGGGTGGTTCGTGCCACAAGGCTGCGCGGGATACAACAGGATACAGCACCAAAATGGAACAGACAGGTTCCCAAGTCCTGGGGCACTTCTGCCAAGCCGGCCACACGCAGAGCATCTCAGCCGACTTGCGCGCCAATGATCCAGTTGCGCTAGTCGCGCGATGCCCGTCTTGTCCGGGAGATGGGATAATTCTGTTCCCGGAAGGAGGTTGTGGGTGTCCTTATCCGATAATGACCAAGCCATAGATCTCGGGGCCGGCTTTGGTGGCAGGAGTTGCTCACGTCTGTGCGGATGGTCAGAAGATGTTCGACACAGCACGCAGACGCAGCAGGAACCAGCTTCGGCATACGCATATCTCGATAGCGGAGAGGAGAGATCATGGGCCTGGCCGTGGGCTAGTTCGCGGACAGGCTGTGGCTTTGGCTCGATCTCGGACGGTAGGAGGCTATCTGGCCTGAATTGTGGTGATGTGACCCCTCTTGCTTCGAGCTCAAGCTCTTCTCAGTACCTCTATATCCACTGCAACCGGCTCTTGGAAGACAAGATCGAAGTTTGTATAGGAATGAAAGTCTCTGTAGAACGTGTACATGTCCAGGTGAAAAGTTCAAAACTTTGCGATCACAGATGATGGTGCATCAGCGGATCAGAGCATGATGTCATTTAGATTACATCTTGATCATGGACAGCATCGCACTTCTTCCGGACGCGACGCGTTCCAAGTTGCGCTCCACACAAATCCTCACATCACTCCCCCAGATTATATCTGAGCTCATACAGAACTCGCTTGACGCCGGGGCACGCAATATCGATGTCGGAGTCGACTGTGAAGAGTGGACGTGTTGGGTGCGTGACGATGCGTCGGGAATAGGCAAGGAGGGAATGGATATTCTGGGACGGGGCATGGAGGCTGGGCGCTACGGTACGAAACACCTCATTCAATGTGTACATGACTCCGACTGCCTTAACAGGAACCTCCAAGGCCTACGCTCCAGATTCCCTCAACGAGGTTACGACGTTTGGGTTTCGCGGCGAGGCTCTCGCATCGTGCGCGGACATATGCTGCTTGGAGATATCGTCTCGTACCAAAGCCGCACAGGAGACGTGGTCGGTCATTGTCAAGGGGTCCAAGAGTCTGTATCAAGGACCGGCTGTTCGCTGGAAGCGTGATGGCCCAGGAACGACGGTTTGCATCCGAGATGCTTTTTATAATGTGAGTGATTGACAACACACTCTAGAAGCGGGCTCAATCATGGCACAGCTTCCTGTCCGTCGTCGAGCACACCCGCCCCCTCCTCGCTGCCTGGACGCAATCCGACAGGAAATACAAGTATTCTCGCTTGTATTTCCTCATGTCTCCTTCACACTCGAAAACACACAGTCCTCAAAAGCTGAGAAAGATGTCTTGCTTCGGATACCGAAGGTCTGGGACAGGATCTACTCTCTGACGCGCTCACTTACGACTGGACGGTTTTGTAGAGCACGTCTTCATTAGCCGCCTTCCGGCACAGTTATGGGCACCCGTTGGCTCAAGTATGTCCGCGAGTCGACCGTTCGCTCAGCCTTAACGCGTTTCAGCACGTTGAAGAGGTCGATGCGACATTAGGAAGTCTTCAGCTCCGCGGATTCATCAGTCTGGACGGAGCACACTCAAAGGTTGGCTCATCCACTCGCTTGAGCATCCGGGGTTGAATTTTCTGCTGGCAGGCTTACCAATTCCTCTGTCTGTCTCCTGTGTAAGTTCTGGATCTCGACACTCAACCACGCCAGACATCAACCGCCACCCGATAACTTTCTGCGAGCTTCACCGAACGATTGATCATCAGTTCAATTCCAGCTCTTTTGCTAAACATGTGAGTTACGTTATCACACACACACGCCTTCGAGAAGCCTGATTGGAGCTTAGGCTTTTGATGAAAACGGGGAGACCAGCGAGAGGAGCAGTCAGTGTTCGAAAATAAACGATTGGCTTTCTGTCTGATCCACAGCCGCAGCGACTCGACGATCCCCTCGGAAAGCTGAGAAGAAGCCAGTGTATGTTCTCGACATCACAGTGCCATCACAAGACCTGGATAACTGCCTCGAGCCTGCCAAGGCAGCTGTTCACTTACGCGTCTGTTGTTCTGCACTCCCCACGATAGTTGCTGTAACTCACTGACACCTAGAACAAGGCCGGCGTCACCGAGCTTCTAAACTCGACGATCCAAGGCTTTTTGACACGTCACGGATTTGCAATCGCGAAGCAGGAAAACATTCGGCATGGGTCCCCTTCCCCACGGAAGAGACGAAAGCTCGATAATGTTGATGACACGGAACCGGTCTTTCGACGGACATTAATTCCATCCCGAGAGCCATCGCCGTTGTACACTGGAGAGGTGAGCAGCCTTCTAGCCACCCCGAAACGCTCACGTAAGTCTATTCCAGGAGGAGAAGGAGCTGTTGTGGACGGATCCCAAGACGGGAGAGGTCTTTGTCGTTGATTCACGCACAGGAAACTCGTACAAACGTGCTGAGCCTCCACCAGTAGAAGGATCGGCGCCGCAGAAGCGCACGCTGTCCAAGTCGACACCCAGGCCAGAGAACATGCCAAATTGGATCAAGACAGCACTAGAGGTTGCGACGATCGATTTTAGTCTCAACGTGGTCTGGCTGATCCGTCGCAGGTGAATAACATCTATGCGGTCCCCGAAGAGAAGATCCCCTCGAAAGAACCCACTGTCGATGGGCCGTCATCGTCCGGGCGTTTTGACAAGGCCGACATCTCGAATGCTGTGGTGATCGAGCAGGTGGACCGAAAATTCATCGCATGTCTGTTTAATCGGGTGTTGGTGCTTGTTGACCAGCATGCTGCGGACGAGCGGATTAGAGTCGAGCGATTCTTGAAGGAGCTCTGCGAGGGATACGTCTCTGGCAAGCGTCCACCTGTCAGGGAGGTGGAAAACTCAGTGCCGGTCCTCCTGACAAGCCACGAAGAGCGCCAGCTCCGCCAGCCTCAGTTGTTGGAAACGCTTGCCCATTGGGGCTTTGCTTTTGACGATCCACATCCAGACAATGCTTGCGGCAACTACCGGCAGGTATTCGTGAGGCAGGTGCCTGAAGTGCTAGCGGACAAGGTACAGTTATTACCCCTGTTCAATAACTCGCACTAACCGAATGCAGCTTTTGATGCCAGATGAGATGCGGGATTTTCTCAAGTCGTTCCTCGGCAAAGCAGCAGAAGATATGCTGTCAACAACAGAACGTGACCCCACCAGCGAAGGCGAGATCCTATGGCTGCACGGCCTGCGCCAATGCCCCAAACATCTCCTCGAGCTCGCCAACTCCAAAGCCTGCCGCGGCGCAATCATGTTCAACGACTCGCTGACCCGCGCACAATGCGACAAACTGCTCGCGAAACTTTCGAAGACGATTTTTCCCTTCCAGTGTGCCCATGGACGGTGCGCCAGTCCCTGAGATAATTCTTCCAGCTCAGATTCTGAGCGCTTTCTATCTAGGCCGTCTATGGTTCCCTTGATCGAGCTCGAGCCGGTTTGCAGGCGACAATCAAAGCCTGTGGATTGGAAGGAGTTTGGCTGAATAAACATATGGCCAACTTATCTGTCTCCAGTGTAGTCGTGCATGATGTCCCAGATCTGCCGCCTTCATCAGTCCTTCGGCCTGAGTGCATTGTCGCGTGGCTTAATTTCATAGGCTTGAATTTAATTGATACACAATGTACTGGTAAACGCTCCGACGGTGCTAGTAAATTGATATGGCGACTGCTATGCCCAAATGTGGATGCCGCGAAAGTGGCGGCCAAGTCTCTCGCGCTCCTTCCGCTCAAAGGTCTTGAGCACATCCATGGTGGATGGATACAGCTCGTAGATGGACGTGAGTTTCTCACGTGCCATGGCCTGCCGGCGGACGCGGTCATCGATGTCCATCGAGAGGTCGTCGACCTCCTTCGTACTCGCGTCCACCGGGAACCCGGACCGCAGTTTCGTCACGGCGTCGAACAGCGCGCGGAGCACATCGTGCCGCGGTCTCCATGTGTTCCAGAGCGGAGAGATCCGGTGCAGGACGTGCAGCTGGTACGTCAGATCTTCGAGGTGTTCATCTGAGAACGCGTCGACGGCACGTTTGTGGTACCGGCCCCACTTGGTCGCAGATTCGCGCGCCTTGGCCTGGAGCGGTTTCTCGAGCGGCCGTTGATCGGTGGGATCCACGTCCAGGGATAGCGGGGAGTCGGGGATGACGTTGCGTTCTGAGCGCAGGCGGTTGCTTCTTCGCTGGTAGGGAAGCATGACTTTCTCCACGACCTCGAGGCACCGGTCCAGCTCGCCGGCACGGATGAACGCCAGGGTCAGCTCGTTCCAGTTGTCAGACGAGTACGAGAAGCCATGCGCCTTGAATGCATTCCAGACGTCTGCGATGTCGTCGAAGCGGCGTCGCTTGGAGAGCGCGCGGATGTAGCACGAGAGCGGGTCGCACAGAATGAAGCTGTGCAGCTTGGACGCGCGCTGGTTCTCGCTGTCGTCCTCGAACAACGGCACCTTTAAGTATCTGACACCCAGTTCGAAGATCTGGGGCCACAACTTCAAAACCATATCCACCCTCCCGCTTCTCGCGTACGCAGTCTGGATCGCGGTCAGGATGCTCAGCGTTGGCTCTTGTCCGCGTTCCTGGAAACGCTTCCAGAGCTGTTCCACTTGCTCGATGCGCCCGCGTAGTCCATACGACCGGATCAACGGAAGGTAGAGCTTGTCGAGCGCGGTTCGTCGCCCATACGATGGCACGTCCCACGACCGGTCTCCCCCGTCCAACGTCTTGAGGAAGTCCTCGGCCATCTTGTAGCTCTCCCGCGTGCCATCTAGTCCATACGCAGAAACCAGCGCGGAGTAAGTCGACGGGTTCGGCTCCAAACCCCGACCCAGCATGTCTTCGTACACGTCCAGCGCACGTTGCCGATCGCGCGCATGAACGAACCCTGCCATGATGATAGTCATCACATGGGCCGTAATGTGCCGATTCGAGCCCCAGTGCGCCGCCAGCCGCTCCATTTCGGCGAATATCTTGGTCGCCGTCTGCATCTCGCGCGCGTTGCAGGCCGACTGGATCAGAAGCGCGAACGTAAATCTGTCGGGTCGCACGCGCATCCGCTCCAGGTGCTGGAACACCCGTGACACAATCCGGAACGGCGCACCGATGTTGACATAGGCTTTGAGCAGCAGATTGTAGGCGGCTATGTCTGGCTTTAGGTTGTTGGTCAAGATAAAGTCAAAAGCCTGGATGGCGCCCTTCCACGACGCGGCCTCGATGTGCGCATCGACAATGACGGAGACCATCTGCGTGTCGGGGACGATACCCTCCGCGACGGCCCGCGCGTACAGAGACTCGACACTCGACGGGTCCTTTCGATGTGCCATGAGCGTCATGACAGTCGTGTACGTCACGATATTCGGCGGGTGCCCAGCTTCGCGCATCTGCTCCATCAACGAGGCAACCGACTGCAAGTCACCCCGCATCGCGAAGCTCTTCAGCAGAGTCGTAAACACGTACACGTCAGGCTCGATCCCGCGGGCTCGCACTCCTTCCAGCCACGGCACAGTTCCGCCGTAGTCACCCTTCTGCGCATGCGCGAAGATGCCCACAGCAAAATGCTCCAGCAGCGGTGCGTTCATCGGCACTCCACTATCATCTGGGGGGAAATACTCGTCGAAGATCTCCCGAGTTTTTTCCGTCTTGCCCAAGACCGCGGACGCATACATCAACTGGAGCACAGCCTTGACATTCATCCACCCCGCAGCACCGATGCGGTCGAAATACAGCTTCGCATCAGCCTCCCTGCCCTCGTTGGAGTGCAGGTACAGCCCCGTGAACAGGTATTCGTAGCTATGTTCGCGCGGGATCGAGTCGTACAGCCCGTGAGCGTCAACATACAAGTTCGCGCGCGCTAGGACACGGACGAGCTGCAGGGGGAGGTGCACTGCAGGCTTCAGGTTCTGCCGCTTCATCTCCCGCACGACATCCAGCGCTTCCAGCGGGTGCTTGGTGCGGAAGTAGGATTCGATGAGGAGATCGCCCAGGTGCCGCACGTTCTGCTCTGGCCAGTCGCCCTGCTTGTCCGCCAACATGATCGCAGGGAGAGAAACGCGGGAGACAATGTGAAATGCCGTCTTGCGCAGCGAAGCACCCGCCATCACAGCCGTGGCCAGGTCAACATCCGAGGCATGCTCGCGGCTGCTTTCGGTGATCAGGAAAGAGCCAATGACCTTCCACTCGAGCACAAGAAACTCGGCGGCCTGCACGGGATCGCGGTGCCGCCAAGTCGAGACCAGGATAGATTCGTAGGCATGCAAGAATGGACCAAAGTGTTTGTGCCTTGGTTGCTCCGTATGCATGACATCGAGCGCGTCTTGCAGTTTGGCCTGGAGCGCCATGGCTCGCGCGGTGAGGTATCTTCCCGTGGTCGGGTCAATCTTCTTGGCCGACGGCGTGTCCTTGAGGATTTGGAGAGCGTAGTCGCCCAATTCATGCACATCCTCTATGTCCGGGTCCCTCCGTAATCGCCCTTCTCCAAACACTAGAAACTTGGTCACCAGCTGCTCAACGTCCCGGCTGGAGATTCGACGGAGGAGGTCGTGGATGCCCACGGTCTCGTACGCATGCCAGACCTGCCGTGGGTTGATGCGGCCTTGCGGCTCGGCAATGAGTCGTCGCAGATAGGAGAGCGCCACTGCGGCTGACATTTTCTGAGGCAGAGGTGGCGAATCTGTCTCGGAAATGTCGTCTAACGGCGGGGGGCTAGCCGGGTCTGGATCGGCGACGGCATCAAGGGGAGAGTCTAGATCGTCCAGCGGCGCCTGCTGGAGACTTGATGCAGAGACTTCAGCTGGAGGAGAAAATAGATCGGAATACGCGCTCGAAGAAGGGGGAGGCGGGTCGGATGAGGAGGACGAGCGGTCAGAGCGGATCGCGTGACGAGACAGAGTGCGATGTAGCACGGGTGGAAGACCGACACGTCGTCGGGGCGGACCATCGCCTGACCTTCTTATACGCCGTGTATTCCTGGGAAATGATTTCTGAGCCAACGAATATTCGTCTTCAGTCGGGTTTTCCATCCCATCTGCCACACAGGTCAAGTTCCGCACAGAACCCAAACGAGAGCCGAGCTCACTGAGACACCAAATGGACACTCGCATCCTGCATGACCATTCCTGGCATTTCTCAGAATATGCTGCCCTCGCGTCGCCGGGGTCGTGGTGGCGAACCAAGCCGGCGAAATCAACGTCAACCATCCTCTCCTTCCCCTTTCCGCTCCCCGCGCGTCGCGGCACCGGGTTGAAGAACCCAGGCGTCATGAGCCCACCGCTCGAGCGAGCCACGGCAGCGGCAGACCCAGAGACCGAGGCAGGGAGCGCGAATGCAGCGGTACGGAGTGAGTTGAGGATGATCGACCCGACTGGCTCGACCATGTAGAGGTCCCGAAGCCAGTGTTCTGTGGTCCAGTCTGCAGCAGCGCATCGGGTCAGTAAGTCTGCACACAGACACAGGCGAGGAGGAAGACAGCGCACCTGCACCGGCAGCGTTGAGTCTTTCTGAAAAAGTAAGAGTGGAATTTTGGAACGTGACGTGACGATCAAAGTAACCTCTAAGCGTGGAAGGGCTTTGACCGTCAATTTCGCAGCAAATTCTCGAGATTGGTCTAGGTAGCAGCCGTACGCGCGTTTATATTTGAGCTACGGACCACGATTCTAAGCCAGACGATATATTCTCAAGGCTCAACGGCCTAAAATGAGTCGATCCGGATCAAAATGTTCCCACGCATCCTTGATGGCTCCGATTATCGTCTCTACAGAGCTCATTCACTCGAAGGGCAGAGCAGTCGAAGGCGTCATCGAGGAATGCCATAGACTGCGAAAGGAAGTGTTCCATCTAGAGCAGGTCCCGCTTTCCGTTCACTCAGCCTATGCTGCTCCTCACCCACTTCCTCAGGGATTCCCGCTTGACACTGAGTTTGACGAGTCCGTTCTGTTTCACGAGCGGTGAATTCGATCCTCTGACGTCTCTAGGGTGGAAGACTTGGCGACTCATTTCTTGTTGCGCGTCACCGAAGAGGATCCTGACACGTCGATCCGCACCGTGAAATCCGTCGGCACGATCCGTGGAACGACGCCCGAGATCTACCCCGCTATCAATCGGTACAAACTATCTCGGTGAGCACGGTGCTGCTGGATGCACCTTCGTACTGACAGGCTTCTTAGATTGGTGGTGGACAAAGACTACAGGAAACACCGGTTCGGCCGCGTCCTTGTTGAGGAGCTGCACCGCTGGGTCCAAGATGATGCAAAGGCGGCGCAACGGCCCGCAGTCATCGAATGCCATTCTCAGATCCCTGCAATGGGATTCTACGCCAAGTGAGTGGATCAGCCAGCACGCTTCACTTTTTCTGACGCCATGTCAGATTCGGATACATTCCAGAGGCAAGTCGCTTCCACGAAGAATTTCATTCCTGGGCTTAATCTTTCGCAGGGCGAGCAGTTCGATGAGGACGGGCAACCGCACCAGGGCATGATAGTCACTCTGCCCATTTCTGAATAGAAATAGATGTCTTGTTGTCGGCGAGTGAGTGTGTAATAGTACATTGTTCCATTCTAGAGGGGACTGTTACACCACGAGACTATATTTGCAGGACCTGCGACATCCAGCATGAGCTGGGTGAAATCAGACGCGACTGATGCTCACCTTCTTCGCGGCTTGCCATGACGCGAGCGATATCGCTTGTGTGGGCACCTGTGCGTGAGACGTGAGCAACAGCGGGTGGAAGAAATCCAATCTCTGCACCTGCTTGAACAAACCGATCCCTAGCCCGGTGAAGAATCCCCGCCAGCCAGAGGCTTTCCACACGCCGTTCACGACCTCCCTGATACCAAGCATGCGATCCGGCGTGCCTTTTCCGCTGGCCTGCTGCGTTCGGCGGATGACCTCTAGCGGGTACGTGAACACTTGTGACACAGTCCCCGCTGCAGCCCCGATGGCCAGGTGTATTCGAGTCTGGTTCGCTCTGAGCGTCGCGGGTGAAAGTACAGCCCGGGACTGCGCGTTGAGGGTCTCCCAAACGAGGAAGATCCCACCCCGATATGGGACCGTGCCAAGGAGTGACACAGTAAAGCCGCGATAGAAGTGCAGAAACGGGAACACTCTTGTGATCCCTCGCGATGATCTCCCTTCGGCCATGATCCCCCGAATGGCGCCCCATGGCGTGGGACGCGCGATGGACTGCCCCGTCTCGACAGCCATTCGCACGCGGATCAGCTCGAAAGGATATGTTAACGGCATAGCAGAGATTCCTGGGACAGTCATTTAGTCCTGGGAGGGAGTGATCGGACGAACGAGAGAATATCACCGGTGATTGCCCCGGCGGCCAGCCTTCGGAAAGAAGTACGTGATTCAGGTGTGGGCATTAACCACTGGGAAACAAGAACATTATCCATTATCAGAAGCTCAGAAGGACGGAACAAGGATAACGCACCACGCTGACTTTCTCGTACACCGTGTAACCAACGGCAGCATGTGGTATGGCCCGCGCAAGTGTCAAAGTGTGTCCTTGGAAGAGCCCTCGCACGCCCTGGGTATGTGAAATGTGCTGCAAAGCCTGGACCGCGCCCCTCCAAGATCCTGTTAGCACCGTGAGCATGTGGACGGCTCTCCCCGACTCGTGTGACCTCACCAGCGAAACGAACAAACTCCGCATTCTGTGTTTGGAGCAGAATCTTCACCCGGTCGAGAGGCGCAACAGCCGTCTTAGCCTAGCATCACGCTAAGTCAATCAGTGAGTCTGGATGAGAGAACGGGGTATGATACTCACCAAGCCGCCCGCGAAACCCCCCGCTATCGCAGAACGAACGAGAAACTCAAATTCAGAGAAGGGCGGATGAGTGGTGCTGCGTAGTGATGAGTCTGTCATAGGCGCCTCGCCGAGATGCGGTGTACGGCGCAACGTCGGGCGCGGGAGCAAGGTTAGGATGAGAAAGTGGTAATCACTGGGTCGGAGAAAGTCTTAAAGGCGGCAGTGCCACTGATGGATTGACGTAATGGTGCTTGCTGATCAGTCGTCCAGTCAATCAGCAGTGTTCCTTCGCGACGCGAATGAGCGTTTCGGTCATTTCTTGGACGATGGCTGTGAAGCACAAAGAACTTGTGCTCATCTGCCAAACTTCACCTCTCTTTCTTGAACGCAAGGTGTCTGGCAGACACGCTTGAATGTGCTTGAAGGATGGCGGAGGTCCAAGCGGATCCGACCCGCTATACACAGGCTGGCTCAGAAAAAAAATCCTCATTATATATGGTATCCATGTATGCGCAATCTGTTGTCTATAAATACGAAGTAGCCATAACCAAATCTAGGCCTGTGGAAGCAAAAAGTAAGCAACTGCGTCATACAGCTTCGGCAACAAGACACACCTTGGCCGCAGGCTGCATGAACATTCCGAACCCAGCGCCGGGATGGCCCTGGTTCTGCTCCTCGAGCTCGAGCTCCCGGCTGATCTGCGTGAGCGAGCACGGGGCACAGCAGCACGAGAGCAGGCAGTCCGACACGCCGGTGCCCTGCACCGAGTACCTCCCGCGGATGGTCGCGCGCCCGCCCATCCCGACCAGCCCGCCGCAGCCGAAACACTGCGCGGCTCCGTAGATGATGCTGTCGTTGCTGATGACGCCCTCCATGGGGTCCTTGCTGACGGACTGCGGGGAGTGGATCAGGTGACTGTTCAGAATCGCAGACGGCACGGCACGCGACTGACGTTCTGCTCCAGAGCTTGGTATCGGGCCATGTTGCGGCCGTGTGACACACACGGCAGGAACCAGGAGACGACACCTTGTGTTTGTCAGACGGTCTTGTACGCCCAAGAATACGAGAGGAACTGACAGGTAAGCGGGTCTGCGAGACAGTCGAATATGCCGTGTGACCACTCGCGCTCGCCATCGACGAAGGGCATGTTGTTCGCGTTGAGGTTGCCACCCGCCTTCATCTGCTCAGTCGGACGCGGTTGTTGGTTGTACTGCAAAAAGTCGTCAGTCGCGAGCCTGGAAAGGGAGAACGAACACCTGACAGCCATTGGTGTGGATTTTGTTTGAAGTGTTTTGAAAGTATCAAGTGAGTGTGGATGTGCTGAGTAGCTTCGAAAGAGATCGCACTGCGAAGAGAGAAAAGACGGTTTTCTGTGGGGGTTGTAGATCGCGTTCCTATGCTTTATATTCCCGTGGTTTGAGCTTATTCGCGTTGGCGATGGATTGAGACATGTCAGTGCCAGACAGACAGAGCAAGCGCTGGCTGTCCGACATGTCGCCAGTAATTGCTTCCTGCAAGTCGCGGCGGTATTGGTCGATTGGCAGCGCGAGTCAAGATGGGCGGCGATTTACAGCGGCCGCCAGCAGCTGCCGATGCCTCCGAACTTGGCTTGAAACAGATATAATCTGGCATCTATCGGATTCTGGCAGTTCTGGACCTGCTGGAGCTGGAGCGCTGAAGGTTGAATGTTACGTGCAGCTTCAAGGATTGAGAGATGAGCATCGCCACAGTCATCCATGACACCCTGCGCCCATCGACGAACCAGCTGTCAGTCACATGCATAGATGCCTACCGGGTGATGCCTTGCGGACGCTCGGGTCCTCATTGACGAGTGGAGAGACGACGTGGGAGCCATCCTTGACCAAGGACCACTCGCCGTCTGCCATTCGCGTGCATTCGTGAGACATCAATATTCATTAGAAGAGAACATCAGAACAGAGTCTGGAATACGTCAAGGGCGTAACAGATCATGAGAATTACCGTAAGGGCAGGAACGACACGGGATCGACGACGTTCCAAACCCCGACATGAGCGAAGGCGGGCAGAAGATGCGCGGTGATCAACCAGATCTGACGCGACTCCCAATCAGCGCGTGCGAGAAAATCGAGTCTAGGAGAATAGTGCGTACGTTGTACCACCAGTAAGAAACACGGTCGGCCTCGACGGAATGGTCCTGGATGAAGCCCGCCGCGGCCTTGAGACCGAGGAGACCGAGGTAGAGCGTGACGAGCGCCGGCGGGGCCCACAGCCAGATCAGAGCCGCCGTCCAGGCTGCGAGCAGAAGCGCGAGCGACCAGCGTCCCACACGAGGCGACAGAATCATGGGGAGGGTGACCCTCCCGATGGCAGCGTCGCCGTCGCGGTCCCGAAAGTCCTGAGCATGCCCGGTCGTGGTGTGCAGCAGGCCGCTGAGGACGATCGCCGTGGTTGAGAGCGTCGAGAGCGGGGCGCCGTGGTCTGGAATGGGAAATGAGAGAGAGGGGAAACCCGGAAAGTGGGCGGTGGCGAACCGAACATGACGGTCGTCCCCCAGCAGTAACACACATAGCCAATGGATCCCAGGAATGACTTGCAGAACCAGTTGCGCGACATGGCGAGCTCGTTGTAGCAGAAGATGGCCGCCAGGTACAGAACGGTGCACGGCAGGAGACCAAACTGCGCGCTGAACACGGTAGAGACGAGGGCGATGACCCAGTAGAGGTCTTGCGCTGCCCCAACAGAGATACGGCCGGCCACGATCGGACGGTTGGGCTTGGAGAGACGATCCTCCTCCAGACCGGTGATCTGAACATTGGGACTGGGCGAAGAAACCTTCAGAAAAGGACGGACGAACCTGATTTTTTATCTGGGGCGGCCGTCAGGAAAACCGCGATAAGAAAGTGCCTTGAAATTTACCTCGAACGTGAGGAGATGCAACTCGAGCCAGACGAAGCCTCGTATGAACGCCCCGAGATCAGTAGGGCCCGCCAGGACTAAAGCGACCGCCAGCTTCGTAGGCAGTGAGTCGATGCGGATGGAAATAGACCGAGCAGCACGAACCGACGGCCCGAGGATGGGAACCATATCGGACTGGCTGAACAGAGACACGGTCTTGATAAACTCGAACACCATTTCTTCCCGAGGCGCAGTGTAATCAGAGGGTGGAGACCAGCATTTTATAATCCAGAGCACATCCCGGTGCGTGGGCTTGACGCGCAGGCACCGTGCAGGCCCTGTGGCCTATCACCGGTGCGTTATCTCAACTAGCGCCGGCCAAATCCAGAAAAAAGGTTCCCAAATCATGAATCGCAGAAGAAAAAACGCGTCGCTGGGCGACGAGACGAAGTCGGCTGAGGCTCAGGAACTGATGAATTTCAGTTTCTGCGTGGAGATGAGTTGAACACGTGGGGCTGAGGACATTCTGGGACAGCCAGTAGGAAAGTGTTGGAATAAACTTTGTGCATGTGTGACGTTTGGTGACATGTACACATCCATCAGTCCTTGATTATTCCCATTGGAATTCGTCTAGCAGCTCTGCATCGAGCGTGTTCGGACTGGCATTCTCACCGTGAATCGGGCGTCATTGTAGATGCAGGACAAGGGGCGAGACGATTAGTCATCAGATGTGAGCCACTGTAATTTCTATCGCTCTTTCAACCGCCACATCATGCATTTCCGGAATCGTTCAATTAACCTGATGCTCCACTATGTCTGGATCCGCATTCTCAGAAGCCGGACCGTGATCTTCTCCGTCACACCCAGTTTCCTAAAAAAAAGTGCTATGTTTCGTGATGCGGCGTCTGGCTGCGCGTCAAGTAAGACATTCCATTACCAGGAAGGGGGCCTTTTGCCTAACATAGGAAAGGCGCCGACTTTCCGCGACGTTCTGATTTTCTGGGCTCTATTCCCCCATCACGCGTCCGATCTACCACCGGTTTCTGGAAGCGCTTCGGTAGAACATGTGGGCGTCTGTTTCCCTTCGGGCTATTTTCATGGAACTGGATGCCGTTCGCGGCATCACGGTTGAAAGGGCCCGGGAAAATGAACACGATCCCAACAAATCGACCCTGCACCCCCTCCTTTAGCTACCCCATCTCATGTCCTCTCCGCACACTGCGCAACTGCAAATCCATTTCGTCGTCGTAGGCGGTGGCATCGGAGGCCTGGCGTGTGCCTACGCGCTGGCGATTGCCGGGCACGACGTGACGCTGATCGAGAAAAGCGCCTTGGACGCCAAGGTTCTGCGCGTGGCCTGATATATCGAGTGTGCGACTGACTAGCGTTTATTCGTCAGACCCAAGGCAGCGTGCGATGCCCCCCGAATGTGACCCGCCTCCTTTTGCAGTGGCCGGGAACCGCTGAACTCTTCAAGGAGTCCGCGACTACGATTTCGGGGTGAGTTTATTCCCAGTCTTGTACCGACTCGGGTATCTCAACTCGCGGCCAGATTGTCGTTCAGGGACGGTGAGCGGAACGGTGCGGACCCGCCGATTGACGACTGAGCTCGGTACAGGTCAGACGGGCGAGCCGATCGGCTTCATGCGGTTCTACGAGGAAATCATCTCGGACCTCCAGGCTGATTTCTTCGCGCTCAAGGTCAGTTAGTTTTTCCGATCCATATGCGCACAGGTGATCGAATTTTGTAGCACGACGACCTGAGGCGCCACCTCGTTTCTCTCTGCGTGAGCAGTGGGCGAGTCGAATTCGTCCGCGGGCATGTCGTGGGCTCGCCGAAGGAGTCCGTCGACGGCCACGTTTCGGTGACGCTGCAGAACGGCCGGGTAATTTCCGGAGACCTCATCGTTGGTGCGGATGGCCATCAGAGCATTGTCCGAAAACTTTTCTTCGACGAGCAAGAACATTCGGATCTCATTGTTACTGGGTGAGTGCAGTGTTTTACATTCTTCTGTTCCACTCTGATTCGAGTTTCTAGCGCCAGTCTGGTGATTCCTACCCAAGCTGTTGTAGACCGCGGTCTTGCCAACGAACACGAGGTTTGTGGTTGCACGCCACCATATGTCCCACGTTCTCCGCACTCACATAAACTTTGCAGTTCACAATCTGGGCGGGGGATAAATCGATGATGACCGGGATTCTCGATGCGAGTTCTCCAGCATGGAACTGTTACCATGGCTGACAACTCTGTCGCAGACTACTAGCGAAACCTTTTATCTCGGAATCTGCACCCCTCGCTCGGTCGCGGCTCTCAACTGCGACTGGTTCAAGAGTTACGACAACAGTTTTCTCCCTGCCTTTGATCTAACTGGGTATGACCCTCGGTGCGTCTGTCCCTAATTGTTTTCCGGCGCGGTGCTAATGTTGCTTTTGCCAGTCTCCGGGAGTTGATTGAATGCGCTATCGATTGCCATCCTACGGTCCAAACAATCTACGAGGACCGTGATGTTGTGGGACCTAATTCCCGGGTCATTCTCATCGGCGACGCGGCCAATTCTACATTGGTGAGTGGGCTAGTATGTCTATGAGCTTTCCCCATTGTCTGATCCCGTCTCAGCTGCACGGAACGCACAACACCTCGATGGCTGTAAGGACACAAATTTCGGCCCTTATCTCCCACTCATACCTCGCCAGATCGAAGACGCCGTGACTTTGGGCTCCCTCTTCTCGAGGTTGAGCAAGCGTGAACAGATCGACATCGCAATCGAGGCGTACGAGGACCTGCGTCAGACCCGGGTGGAGCAGACTCAGGAATCCGAGTACGCGTCTCTGCACCAGATCAGTCTCCCGGACGGCGTTGAGCGCCAGCGCCGCGACGCCGTGTTGGAATTGACGCTCCGGCCCGAATACGAGAGCTTCGAGGACTGCAGCGACTCGGACGACCTGATCGAAACTTGGGAGCCGTACCTGGCCGTGTTCAACTACGACGCCATCGAGGCCGTCGACGATTGGTTCTCCCAGCTGGCCTTCATCTTCAACGATGTGCCTGACGTCGTGGTGTGATGTGTCGTTGGTGCCAAGTCCTCAAAAATACCCTCATTTGCTCGTACATAATCTGGATTGTAGATCACTTGTATAATAATACGTCCCCAGTTGTTACCCAATTCATCTATCTTGTGATACTCCAGTGGGACACTCAAGTTGAAATTACTAATTAGCCCCCTGTCAACGGCTGTCATGACGCATCCATCCATCCATCACAAGCGGCACGTGAATCCATGACTTGCGCTTAGGCCACACTGCGATGCGGGAGCCGAAACACTGACGACGACCCTACTGACCTGTACATTTCTATTCGACGTACTATCTACATCTGCGACCATCCCATATCACGACCACGGACGCCATCCGCGATGCCCGCGCAGTCGTTGATTGTGCCGACAATCTTGCCTACCGGCACCCTCCATTTTGCGGAAGTCGAGCACAGCGCCACGGCGCAGGACGTGATCAATGCGCTGCTGCTAGTCGCAGGCTTGAAGAGCGAGATAATGGGGGACGTGGAGGAGGGGGATGCGGGGTGGGCTCTGCAGACGATTAGGGTGGAACGGCCTGGACGGCCATGGGAGGAGGTCGAGCTTGAGGCCTTGGGAGACGGTCAGCCCGAACTCTCTTTCCTCACCCAGTAGGCGTCTGAGCACCGGACAGGCAAGCTTGATCCCACGACGCCCGTAGCCCCACTCGTAGAGACGACGACGAGCCCCCGACCCCCGATGCAACGACACTTCTCCTCGTTCCCGATGACTTCGCATCTGCACAATCCCGTTCTGCGCCTAGTCTCACTGCATCCAGCGCTATCAGTATCTTTCACCTTCGCGCGCGTCTGGGAGATCCACGACACCTTTCTGTACAAGATCTTCATCTCTCGCAACACGACTGTTGCGGAAGTCATCGAGGCTGCGGTTGAGGAGCTTGGATTGGCTAAGACGCTGCCTATACCCGGCGGAGGAAACTTGGACTATGTAATAGAAGAGGTCTGGGAAGACGGAGAGACTAGTGCGTTCATCATTCCCTGCTCATCGCACTGACCGACGGACACTCCTGATTCCTCCGCAGAAGCAACCAAGCTCCCCGGCTCGTCGATCATGTATAGAATCGTCCGGACACCGTTCACCGCCAACCCTCTCTCGTCTTCCGCCACCCGCTCCTTCCGTCTGTGCGTTCCAGATGAATGGTACCGCAGGTCCAAGTCCCGCAGTGTCTCCGGTGCATCAATAGAACCCTCCGAGTCCACGATCCGGCGCCTTGCCTCTCTGCAGGAGCAGGAGGAAGAGGACGAGGGAGAGGATCAGGAGGGCACAGCCAAGCTCACCGACACTGTCGTTTCACCCCGATCGAGCTCTGCCGAAGAACCCGCGCCCAGCAATCGATTGTCGATGATGTTTGATGGATGGCTGCGAGGGGGCCCGAGTCGGGATAGTGTTGTGGTCCCAACCTCGGCAGCGGAGAACCGCAAGAGCATCGTGAGCGAACCGAAGCTTGTGCCGCACTTCACCGGCGGCGGACTAAATGATGCGGATCCTGCCGAGGAGGATCAAGGATTCGACGAGGCTGCGTTCGAAGCCATGCTTGTATGTCTTGTCCATCTTTTGTTTACTTTCGACGCACAAGGCTGATCAAAAATAGGACGACCTGGGTCTCAAAGGCGACAAACGAACGGCGATGCACAACATGGCGCCAGAGAGGAAGCGCTATCTGCTCGGGCAAAGCCGACAGGCTAAGCCTAAGGCTCATGCGACACCTCCGAAAGCCGCCGGCTACGCCCAGTCGTACGGCCCATCGAGTGCAGCGGCCCTGCTTCCTAGGCTGGTGCCGCAGCTGACTGGCGATGGGCTCATGAAACGGTTCTCGATGACGGGCTGGGGCGCCGCATCACCCCTCTCAGAGTCCGGAAACTTCGACCCCGAGCCCGAGGTGGCACCCGCCGCAGAGGAAATCGCACCCCTGCAAGCGCAAAGCACGGGGGGCCTGTGGAGCAGCTGGTGGGCGTCGTCAGGTGGCGACAAGAGCAGCAGCGGTTCCAAGGAGACGAGCAAATCGGCGAAATGGTATGTCGACGGCCTGCGCTCGAGCAAGCCCGACGTCAGGCTCGTGAAACACCTCATCTCGCTGAGGGTACATCTTTCAACGGCCAAGCTGGTCTGGATCCAAGAGTTCGTCGGGGATGAGCATGGCTTGGATGTGCTCGGGACGTTGCTAGCTGGGCTGGTCGCCAAGGGCGGCAAACGGCGCACTCTGACGGAGGTTGAGACGACTGTGCTTCATGAAGTGATCAAGTGTCTGCGGGTGCTGCTGAACACCGAGGTCCGACATTCATTCTCTACATTGGCGCGAACACTGACTCAACTCGTCACAGCCTGGATTCAACCAAGTTCTGGGATCGCCGGCCATCATCACACACATCGCATACTCCCTCCACGCAGCGACACCGAAACTGCGCAGTCTCTCTTCCGAATTGCTGGCGGCCATCTGCGTGCTGTCACTGACGGAAGGCCACAAGGCCGTTCTCGCCGCCCTGTCCGACTACCGAGTCGAATTCGAAGAGTCCTTCCGCTTCGAGGGACTCATCGCCTCGCTGCGGTTGCCTGATCCGGCGACGGATGTGGAGAGCGACGACGGTCTCGAGATGAGCGCGAGCGAGGAGGACGGCGCGTGGGAAGCGAGGACTGCGTCCATGGCGCTGATCAACGCGCTGACGAACTGCCCCGAGGCACTCGAGGACCGCGTCATGCTCCGAGAAGAGTTCGGACGGCGGGGCCTGAACGAAGTCGTTGTGGTGCGTCGATGCTTTTGTGTGCTACTGATCGACCAATTGACGCTTTTGAAGGCTCTGCGGTACATCAAACCCCCGGATACTCTGCTTACGCAACTAGACGTCTACACAGAAGAAAAGTTTGAAGACGAGCAGGACATGCGCGAGCGTGCGCGTGACCTGATGAGCCGGTCGCAAGAAAGGGGATCGTCGGAGTCGGCGCTGGAGAATCTCATAAGGCTGGCTAAGCAGCACGGGGAGTTGTATCCGATGATGATTGAGATTATGAACCACTACGGGCAGATCCTCGAGAAGGATATCGGAATGTGAGTGCTCTTAGACTTGTATCGATCGGCTCGGCCAGCTGATGGGCTGCAAGGCAACTGAAGGCGGACTTGTTCAAGATTCTGGATCGGTTTGTAGAGCAGGCGGCGATGCTGGATGATTTGTGAGTTTCCTAATCTCTAAAAATCCACTCCACTGAAGAGCAGCAATCTCAGCGACGACGGCTGGCAGCTTTTCATGAAGCGCTTCGCAGCTTCCGTTGTGCACATCACGGGCCAAGAACTCGAGGTTAACGCACCTTCGGATTCCGCATCGAGTTCTATCGCTGAGCAAGAGCTCGAGTCTCTTAGGACTAAGTATGAGGAGCTGAGCGACGAGGTAATCTTGCTTCTGTCTGAGTAGAGTTTGCTTCTGATGGGTTTCCACAGCGTACCGAGCTGAGGAACAAGCTAAATCAGCAAATCGCTGAGATGAACACGCTGAAGAGTCTGCCGCTGAACCTGCAAGTTCCCAACACCAAGTCCAGCGGTAAGAGTGGTGAGGTGAGCATCGCGATCTGTTTACGTGTCTCCCGTCTGTGTGCTCAATGGCGTAGAACTTCCATGGACTGGTGCAGCGACTGGTCCAGAAGGAGAAGCAGGTGCTCCAGCTCCAGGCCGAGATAGATCGCTTTAAGGCTCAGAATCCGGGTGAAGCTAGGGAAGCGGTGCGTCCCATGCTCGCTCCATGTTGTTTGCCTCACTGACGAACATCTTGCAGGACGATCGGGCGAAACGGGAGCGGGACAGAGCTAAGTGGAACTCGTTGAATGATGAGATTGCCAAGCTCAAGACCAAGGTGGGTGGTGGTTGATTCGCCGGAGGGAGACAGATCGTTGAAGCCATCCTGTAGAACGCCGAACTCGAATCCGCTGGGGCTTTCAAAGATAAGGAGATCACGTATCTGAAGCGGGCGCTCGAGTCGGTCTACACACGCTTCATCTCGCGGGAAGAGTCCAAGGAGGAAGCAGAAATGGACGCCGCGATGATGGCATCGCGCACGATCGACAGTTTGACACGCAAAGACGAAGAGATCGCGGCTCTGGTGGTCGAGGTCAACGAGCTCCAGGCCAAACTAGCGGCCAAACCCGCCATGACGGAGAAAGAGTTCAAAGCTGCTCACGCGCCGCCACCTCCCCCGCCGTCCAAACGCGCGTCAGTCAAGACGAATTCGCCCCGGTCGCCCCCGCCCCCTCCGCCGCCTCCACCGCCCAGGCCGCCGACGCGGTCTGTCACGCTTCCCGAGTTGGGAACGACAGCCCAGTCTTCGCCTCCTCCGCCCCCGCCGCCTCCAGCCCCGCCCAGTCCATCCTCGATGCCATCATCGCCTCCGCCCCCACCACCCCCACCACCACCGGTTACTGGGAATGCGCCGCCTCCGCCTCCTCCGCCGCCCCCACCGTCGACAATCGGTGTCGCAGCACCGCCACCGCCACCGCCACCGCCACCGCCTCCACCGGGCAGCGGGGCACCACCGCCGCCGCCGCCTCCGAGCGCGTTCCGATCCCCTGTCAGGGTCTCGAAGCCGGCCAAACGGCTGAAGCCCTTCTTCTGGAACAAGGTGAATGCGGCGGGCGGCTCTGTGTGGAACGACATCGGCGCTGGGTTTGAGTTCAAGATGGACGATCTGGAGGCCACGTTCACGCTTGACAACACGCCGACGACGCCGTCCCAGCTGCGCGCCAGTCCGAAGAGGCAGGCGGTGACGACGCTGCTGGATATCACCAGGGCGAATAACATTGGTGCGCAGCTGTGTGTGTGCGCTTACGTGATTTTTCTGACTGTCGATTTGTAGCGATTATGTTGTCGCGCATCAAGATGGGATTTCCTGACATCAAGCAGGCGTTGCTGGATTTGAACGACGAGAAGCTGTCGGTGGACGATCTGAAGGCGATCAGCAAGCAGTTGCCCACCGCAGAGGAGATGGGCCGAATCAAGGATTTCGACGACGACTTGGGCAAGCTGGCGAAGGCGGACCAGTACTTCGGGCAGGTGATGACGATCCCACGTTTGTCCGAACGGCTGGAATGCATGCTGTACCGACGTAAGCTTGACTTGGACATCGAGGAGATCCGGCCAGAGCTGAATATCCTGCGCAATGCGTCGCACGAGCTGCGGTCGTCGCCCAAGTTCAAGCAGGTGCTGCAGGCCGTGCTGGCGCTCGGCAACGCGCTGAACGGGTCGACGTTCCGGGGCGGAGCGCGCGGGTTCCAGCTGGAGGCGCTGCTGAAGATGAAGGAGACGAAGACCGCGCGCGGGGGCGCCGACTGCCCGACGCTGCTGCACTACTTGGCCCGCGTGCTGATGCGCACGGACGTGTCGCTCGTGAACTTCATCGAGGAGATGCCGCACCTGGAGGCCGCGGCGCGCGTGTCGCTGCAGACGGTCGCGCAGTCCGTCGCGACGCTCGTGGCGGGGCTGGCCCAGGTGAAGGACGAGATGCAGAAGAAGAGGCAGGCGGGGTCGCCCTCGGGGGATCGCTTTGTATATGTTATGCAGCCGTTTGCGGGGCAGGTGGAGCCGAGTGTGGTGGCGCTGAAGAACATGTCGCAGTCGTTGGACACGGAGCTGCGCTCGCTGCTCGCGTATTACGGCGAGACACCCGAGACGATCTCGCCCGAAGACTTTTTCGGGCTGATCGTGTCGTTCTCGACGCTGCTGCAGAAATGCGCGCTGGAGATGGTGGACAAGGCCGACTTCAAGACACCCGCGGTCGTAACCGCCGCTCCGGAGGAGCCGGCTTCTGAAGCCGGCTCGTCGACGATCAAGGTTGCACCGGCAGCGGCAGGCAACTCGCTCGTCCCGCCGCCGTCGCACACGCCCAATTCGCAGGGCCGGTCTGTTGGACGTGGGGATCTCGACCAGGCGATCAGGAGCATGCGGGATGGGAAACGGAGGGTGAGGCCGACTCGGCCGCTGAGCAAGATATTCGTCGATGGCGGGCGGCCTGCGAGTCGGCTCTATGACTAATGACCAATCGAGGACCGTATTATCTGTTTATGCTACATACATAATGAAGTGATCTCAATGTACAAGAGACTGCAAATCAAATTATCAATGTTGATGCTTTTCTGGACACGTGATGATGTTCTTTTCGTTTTCGAACCGTGCGAAACCTGTGTTGGTATGGTCCTGGAACGCTGGTAGGTTTACACATACATGCGACACTTTGCGAGAATGCATCAGTGTTTCAATATGACAAGAATACAGACTGTCGGAGCAAGGCGTATCACCTCGGGGAGTATCGGGTCGATCAAAGACTATAAGACGCAGCGGTGGTATCCCTACAAGTTTCAATCTACAAACCAACCAGCAATGCCGCCCCGCCCGTATCTCGCACTACTTCCAATCGGCGTCCTCGGCGTCCTCTACTACCAACACATACGCCTGAGCGCGAAATACCCCACGCGCCGTATCCCGCCGCACCTCGAACTGAGCGCCCAAAGCCTGAGCGGGACGGCGCCTGCGTCCGGAGGGGCGTGGAAGGCGGCACATGCGGGGGACACGTGGACGGCGCAGGTCCCGCGCCGTCTTGTGCTTGCCGCCGCCTCGCGCGCCGGAGGGGAGGAACCTGAATCCGCCGGCGAGGCGGATGATGATCTGGCGGTGGGCTTCGCGCGGGCGTTCTGGGGCAGCTGGTGGCTGCGGCTCGAGCCGCGGATCATCGATGTGCTCGAGGGCGTGCTGAGGCTCGGCGTGTTCTCGAGACGGGAGGGCAGTCGCGGGGAGCACCCGGCTGGGTTTGTGCCTGGGGAGCAGGTCATGACGGGATATGTATGTGCCAGTGCTTTGATTAGATAGATTGCTCCCCCGGATGGTTCCGACTAATCGATTGCAGTTTTTTGTCGAGTCTCATGAGGAGCGACCGAAGATCCTCTCGAACGCGGCTGTGCTACACGGGCCTATCATCGTCTCCTGGTGGCTCCAACCGACTCCTCCGTCCCCGAAACCGGGCCTGCTGGGTGGATATCACTCGTTCTCGGTCGAAGACTCCGATCCAGATTCGCCGCTGGTCACGCTGCAATTCACGTCCACGCTCATGATGTCTGGCTCGAATCCTTCAGGGGATTCGACGATGCCCAGCGCCCAGTTGGCGGGTCTAGATCTACGGCAGAGCATCATCATGAGGTTCCACACGTTGTACTCGAGACTCTTGCTGGACTCGGCTGTGAGGCGACTGGAGAGGGGAGTCTAGAATTATTTAATTATTAGTGTATTCGCAAACTACTATCCTGCGTTTCGATAATCAATCTACGCGTCAAGAAAAATCATGTGATCGCGTTCGTTCGCCGCGGCATCAGCCGGCTCTCCGCTCGTTACGCGCATCAGCATCATCGCGTCCGAGCATGTGCCCGGACCCTTATAGCTGCTGCTTATCCGCACTCTCCCAGCGCACACCACACCACACCCACCTCCGCCATGGTCTTCTCCTGCCTACCATTCCTGGGCCGCCCGACCAACGCAGCTCTCGATGCGGCCGACGTGCCTGAGAAGTCGTCCCGAATGGGCGCACGACCATCAGCACCGTCCTATCGCGCCGCCCTGCGCGCGTCGGGCGCCGGCTCTGCTGCAGCCCTGGCGGAGCTCCGCGCGCTGATGACCGAGAACAAGCTCGACGCGTACGTCATCCCCAACGAGGACGAGCACGGGAGCGAGATCCCCGCGTCGAGCGAGCTGCGGCGCGGGTTCATGACCGGGTGCGCATACTGTGTTTGCGTTAGTCGGCTGGGGCATCTGCTGAATACGGAACTCCGGATAGGTTCCACGGCACCGCAGGGCTCGCGGTCGTCACCCAGGACGAGGCGCTGCTGTTCACGGACAGCCGGTACTGGATCGCCGCGGAGAAGGCGATGGACCCGGCCCTGTGGACGCTCAAGAAGCTGGATCCGCGCGCGCTGGTGCCGGGTGGGTTCCAGGACTTCCTCGTGACTGTGCGCTGCCCGCTCTTCTATACTCGAGTATGCACGCAAATTGCTGACCACACTGCACCACAGCTCCCCGCCGGCTCGCGCATCGGCGTCGACGCGCGGCTGATCCCGCCGTCGCTCAAATCCACACTCGACGCGGCGCTGCCGGCGGGCTCGCGGCTCGTGTGCCAGCGCACGAACCTCGTCGACGCGGTGTGGACGGATAAGCCCGTGCGCTCGACGGATGCCGTAGTCGTCCACCCGCTCAAGTTCACCGGGCGCGGCATAGAGTCGAAGCTCGCGGAGCTGCGCGCGGCCATCGCAGAGGCGGGCGCGGGCGCGTACCTCGTGACGCCGCTCGACGACCTCGCGTGGCTGGTGAACCTGCGCGGGAACGACACGTTTAACCAGCCGTTCTTCTACGCGTACATGTTCGTGTCCGCGGCGGATGCGGTGCTGTTCATCGACCCGCGGAAAGTCAGTCCCGTGGTCGATGCGTATCTGACTGCCGCGGGCGTGCGGACCGTGCCGTACGGCGATGTTTGGGACTTTTTGAAAGCGGAGAAGGCGGAAAACCCGAAGAGCGCTGTGTTGGTGGATCCCAAGGCGTCGTATGCGGTGATAGAGGTCCTGGGGGTAAGTGATCGATGTAAACCAGTTGGCGGATGGATGAACTGACCGCTACACAGGACAAGGCCAAGATCATCCCGTCTCCGATCAACATCTCGAAAGCAGTCAAGAACGACGTCGAGATCCAAGGGTTCTACAATGCGAATCTCCGTGACGGCGTCGCCATGGTTCGTTCCTTTGTTCCCTCTTTAGGAAATCTGTGTTCGAGGCGGAGAATCCAGGTCCGCTGGTACGGTTGGCTCGAGGAGCAAGTGGTCAAGAAGAACAAGGTCGTCACCGAGTATGAGGCCGAGCGCAAGCTGAACGAATATCGGTCCTTCGAAGAATATTGGGGCGGTGACGCGAGCTTCATCAGGTCAGGATTCGTACTTGCGTGTCCCACGGCGTGCTGATAAGGCGAGCCCAGTGCTTATGGGCCCAGCGCGGCGCTTCCTCAGTGCGCCAAAGCTGGTATTCCACTGACATTGGAGACTGAGTTGCGTGCAGTTACGAGGCTGATCCAGAAGACTGTTTGGTCATTGGCAAGCATGCACCTTATCTTATGCAAGTCCGCGTCTGCCCACTTGATACCCGGACGCTCAACTGTGATGATGTGCAGTGACTCGGGACAGCAATACCTCGATGCGACGATTGACACGACCCGGTACGCCGTCCCCTACGACCGCACAGAATCCTTCTCATTCCTTGCGCGGGTAGGACGGTGCACTTTGGGAAGCCGACTGCAGAGCATAAACGAGCCTTCACGCGGGTTCTGCAAGCGCACATCGCCATCGATGCGTTGACCTTCCCCGCTGGGACGATGGGCACCGCTCTGGACGGAATCGTCCGCCACCACATGTGGAAGGACGGGATGTGAGTGCTGCTCCTCACCTGCAAGTGCTGGCAAGACAGGTTTTGACATGGGCTGCAGGAACTTTGGGCATGGCCCGGGGCACGGTCAGCTGTTTGACATCCGGCGTTCTGCGACATGCTGAGCGTCGTGGTTTGCCAGGTATCGGAAGCTACGGAGTCGTGCATGAGAGTGGGTCTCTTGTTCTCCGCTCGGTCTGGAGATGCCAATTTGATATGTTGCATGAAGGTTCGACTGGGATTAGTACTCCGTTCGCACTCCAGCCTGGACACGTCGTCACGAACGAGCCCGGTTTCTGTGAGCGATTTGCTGATTATCCGCTCTCTGCGCTGATGCTTGAGGAAACGCAGACGACGAGGGCAAATTCGGATGCCGAATCGAGTCGACCATCGTGGTCGTGAAGAAGAAGGTGCATTGAGCTGAGCTGACGTGGGCTTTTGTGTATGAACTCAACATCCGTGTCAGACTTACCGCGAGTTTGGCGGCCCGAACTGGATGGGTTTCGAGCGGTTCACCATGGTATGCACGCTTCTTTTCATCCACCCATGTGAGAGAGAGTGTGTGAATCGACGATGATCCGGTCCAGGTCCCGATTCAAACGAAGCTGGTCGACCTCGAGATGCTGACCAAGGACGAGCGCAAGTGGCTGAAGGAGCACAACGAGCTGTGCTACAAGAAACTGCGGCCTTTGCTCCGCAAGGTGAAAGACAAGCGGGCGGAGGCTTTATTGGGCGATTTCTTCTGATTCTTTCTGTTGTTTTCACTGCTAGTAAGTATTGTCTTGTACAGGAAGGCTTTGTTGGATCTTCCCGAGCTTTGATTTGGTCTGGGCTGATGGCGCGGTAGTCGTGCTATGTACTATGATACGCCAATAAAAAGAGGGAAAAGTGAACGACCGTTAGCCCACCGGGGGGCTCGAACCCCCAGCCTTGAGATATCCGCAGACTGTGCCAACCACACAGGAGACATAAGAGTCTCACGCTCTACCGATTGAGCTAGGCGGGCACCTGCGCTGATGCGCCCGGCGGCGGTGATCATGTGACGGAGCCGTTTTGATAGTGCAGATAATGATAATATTAGAGACAACAATATAAACCTCCAGTACATAATGATCCCAATTAGACGCCAGAGTCGACGCTCGACTCCAGTGGCAGCATGTGGCCCATGCGGAGGACCTTGGTGCGCAGATACTTGTCAAGGTCCGGGCCGTGCACTGCCTGGCCTCCGATGAGGGTGGCCCCGGCAGCGTGGGCCAGCTCCTCCAGGCTCGGGTCGCGTGCTTGCCAGCTGCGGGGGACCATGGCCACGCGGTCTGCGATGTAGATGCCCTCCTTATGGAGGGCCTCGACTTTGTCCGGGTTGTTCGTCAGGAGCCGGACGCCCTCACCCTGGTTTGGCCCCTCGCCCAGCCCCAGATCCCGCATGATGGCAGCGGCGATCTCGTACCCCCGCTCGTCGGCCTGGTGCCCGAGCATCAGGTTTGCTGTGACGGTGTCGTGGCCGAGATCCTGCAGGTTGTATGCCCGGATCTTCGAGAGCAGGCCGATGCCGCGGCCCTCCTGGCGCATATAGACCACGGCGCCACGTCCGGGGATGGTGACCGTCCTGCCCGCTGCGTCGAACGTCACGGGCTGCGAGATCCTCCGGATAGCCTCGTCCAGCTGCTCGCCACAGTCGCACCGCATGCTGCCCACCGTTTCGCCGGTGAAACATTCCGAGTGGATGCGGACCAGCGGAGGGGGCAGATTCCCTATCGGCGTGTGTTTCGATGTGGAAGGCTGTGAGGCATGGTGCGAATCGGCTGACAGCTGGCCGACGTAGGCGCCCCGAATGATGCGGTCCATCTCGGTCTCGTTCTCGTCCCAGACGGCATCCAGGGAGCGCGAGCGGATAGCAGGCGCGACGAAACAGGCGGCATCAGCGGCATCGGCGTACTGCGCGGAGTCAATCACGAGCGCCAAGTGCTCCTTGTTGTCCCGCGTGTTGTGGTACAGATGCAGGAAGGCGGGCCCATGTGGTGTCGGGATGCGAGTCCGCGCCATGCATTTCACCTGCACCGGCTTCGCACGCTCCGCATTCTGGACGGCCTTGGTGCGCGCCGTGTCGGTAGGGGAGGCGACGACTGACATGCGCCGCTTTTTCGTCGGCGCGGCCGTCGCTACGGCACTGTCGTCGTTCTCCTTCGATTCCTCCGGGATCAGGCCCTGTTGGATGCGCTGCCGTCTCGGGGCCTGTCGGCTCACATACGTGAGAGGCCGTTTGATCTCCTTGTAGTCGGTAATGGGGACGGGAACGCCAGGGAAGAAGTCGTGGTGGTAGTGGTTGCGGGTAACATGGGGGCCCGAAGCTGGGGTTCCAGGCTCAGGAATGGGAAAGGCGGAGAGCCGCAAGGAGACTCACCGACTGCAGCAGCCATGAGAAGCGGATCGAGGGCAGCGTCCCGCCGGGAAAACTTTTGTCTATGAGTGGGTGTAGTGGGTGCAGTAAGCACCTCGAGGAGAGCCGCGTCGCCAATATTATCGAAAAGAGAGTGCATTTCCGGCAAAGTTATAAGGACAAGAACGAGAGTCGCGGTTCAAATACAAGCACTGGTCAGCAAAGACTAAGCAGGAGCTAAGCTTACCGTAAGCGCCGGGGACCCGATGGGTCTTGTCATCAGCTGGTGTCAGAAGACATGACATTGTTTGTATAAGCGATCAAATGCCCCTATTCTTCTCGTTCTCGAATGTTCATCAGAGGCGGGGTACAAGTAAGCAGCTGCGACAGACGCTAGACAGTGGAACCCGTTGTATGATTTGCGGGAGTGAGTGAATCGTTAGGCGCTGCGAATACCTATGCATTGGCCCCAATATAAGAATAGTCCATAATCATCTAGAGACAAGCTTGTCACGGACTCGGAAAGAGAAGCTCTTTCCGCTCCATCTCCTTATGCTGGGGAGCGTATGTGCGATCATTAAGTCCACCCAAAGTCCACCCCGACGGGCCATTTCTCAAGTCATCCCTCGGAATGTCAGAATGAAAGGCCGAGCTCGTGAGATCGTGGCAACGTCGTATAAGATAGGGAGGGAATGAATGGCCTGTTCAATCAGACTCCTGCCGTCCACAGGCCATCTTAATGCAAGCCCTGGCTCGCTAAAATTATCAGCGAGGATGCATGATGCCGATCATGAATGATCGCTTACATAATGGGATCACAATGTAATCCCTCCTTTTTCCGAACTTCTCCAACTGCTATGGTTGCTCGAGTATGAGATGCGTCTTTCGCTGATTCTTCTTCTTTCCGGTACATTCTCTATGTGAGTCCTATCGGTCGAGGGCGCAGTTTCTTGCTCAACCTAATCGGCAGCGTTCATGCTCTTCCCTCCGTGACCTCCAGGACTGAGGACAGCGATGAAATAACAAGCAGGTCGTCGTCTGCGCATCCCGGAACGACGAGTTTTCTTTCCCACACCTCCCAGTCTGCATCCCCCTCGCACAAACCCACGTCCGAATCAACCCGGCATGTGTTCTCCGCCCACACTTTACCTCCTCAGTACAGCGACCGGCCAGTCGGGAATCCGCAGCCAGTGCCAACGCGCACTTTCGAACCTAGACCGAGACCGACAACACCCTTCCAAGGTCCCCGACACCATGTGTCAATCTCGGGTCTCATCGTCAAGATCATCGGGATTTTCTGCGCGATTATGACCCTTCTCGCGGTGTCCCGGTGCATATACATATACCGAAGGACTCCGCAGCGAGACCGCGTTCTTGCGGTCATACACCGACATCAACTACAGCGGGAGATGGAGGAGCTGGATCGCAATCCGCCTGAACGACGCCGGTCGCTGGTCGAGCCTCCGCCGCCATACTTGGGCCGACCACCGGAGTATACGACAGACGAGACCACGCGGCTCGCTTCTCCCCGGCACAGTTCTTCGTCCGACGAGTTGCACACACCGGAAATGCGGGAGCGGTGACAGCATGTTAGCGATCCGTCGACTCGTCACCGCGTGGAGATCCATCCCGCAGCGCAAACCTGTTGCGACCGGCCATTTTATTTCTGCGAAAAGCGGTCGGCGGAGCATGCGTGCCATTGCAAGGTGTACTACCATCATCTGGGACTTTGTATCATATCATTCATGGACTGCAAGTACTCGACCTATCTGCACCCTGCTCTAGTACTTACCTTCAATATCTTCGCGCGTTCTCAGCGGCAGTACATCAGAGGAATCGCGTGGAACTGTTCGGTACTTATCGTGAAGCTGTTGAAACGTTCAGGGATTGACAGGTTGGGTGGCTATGTGTCCATGATCACTCGCTAACTGTGCTGATCCCCTCGCGACCTGCTTTGCAGTCACCTCGAAGATCGCGGGCTTTTCACCCCGCTTTCGCACGCGATCGGACCGTTCTACCCCTATCCTCCTTGACTGCGAGCCACTGCCCTCTCCTCGATCGCAAGTTTGTCTCGTGCGACGGCTTTTGCCCCTCCTTATCGCTCCCAATGACCCGTTCGGATTGCCACGAAGGATTGCAGATTCTTGCGGCCAGTCTCCAGTTCCTAGGTCCAGGCAACCAGTACTTTGTATGAACCAATGGGATGTCTGTGTGTCTTTGAGCCCGCTCCGGCAAACTCTTCCTGAAGCCGAACGTTGACCCTGTACGTTATCCACGTTTCCGGATGGACCGACCTCTACGTCGTCTGTCCGATCTTCGCACTTCGCCGGCGGATGAACGCATTTGCGAGAGGATGCATCATGACGAGTTCCGAGGCCTGCGCCCCGCGGAACCAATCGCAGAGAACGTATAAAAACTCAAAATTGATTGCACCAGCAGCCCATTCAAACCTTTTGGCATGTCTGGCTCAGACTGAATCTCCCAGTCATCTTGGTGAAGTGATCTTTGATCAGACAATTGCGTGTAAAAGTAATCCTGGAAAGTGTACGGGTGGAGATAAGGTGTTAGACGCGGTCTGATCCTGTTAAGAGCCATTATCAACGTGTTCGACGCGCCCCGCAGGTGACTGAGGATAGCGGAGAATCATCCGTGGGATTTGCCGCGGTCACAGAGACGGCGTTCACTCCTGATATTTGATGGCAGAGGTCGTCACAAATAAACAACTTCAACTTCTCTTTCTGCCAAGGGACCCACACTCAGTCCTGGGCATGGACTTGCCCACTGAGTCCTTTCGGCCATCCCGCTCCGTTCCAAATGGCAATCAGATAATACCCGGGTTAGATGTTCCTTCTCTCTGCGGTGATCGCGTCACTCACTAAATTTAATCTTCTGTTCCTGTGATATCCAGGAGCACGCTGCATGCTCAAACTCGAGAAAAAGTGGTCGAAATCCTCGCCAACACCGCAAATGGATGTCTAGACGAGCTTGGATTGTTCCCCGGGATCAAACAACGATACGATGAATTGCTGAAGGCCCACGAGCAAGCAAACAGGGCGAATGATGCGTTGTGGCGGGATAATGACAAGCTCGTCCAGTCTTGTTCTCATCTTCGGTGTGTCAAAGCCTTCCTTCTCCGATCCTTCTCGAATCGAACCCCGCGAACAGGAACAAGTGTACACAGTACCAGAGGGACAATGTCAAGTTGTACGAAGACAACAGGACTCTCGTTCAGGAGCGCTCCCATATCTGCGGCGAGAATGAGCAGCTCAAAAAACAGAATATGGTGTACGCGCGATCTACTACACACTACGAGGTGATGGGTGCCTATGCTGCGTTGCAACGGGACATGCAAGCGGCCGTGAACGAGAACGAGCTTTTGAAGCACGCTGTGAAAGATCTGCAGAACAGTCTACACCGGTCGGGGGCAAACCCTGCAATTATCCAATCTGCTGTTCCGGTGGACGTTCATTCCCATGGGCCCCCTCATGTTCCGGCTTCTGGAATGCCAGAACTCCGAATAAGCACGCATGGTGAGTATTTCTTGTACACTGCAGTCTACGCCTAATCACACTGGGTAGTTACAAGTCAGGTACCCATCATTAATCGCTTCTCGTCGCTGTCACCAACCCTTCTTCAGAATAATCATCCCCCTCTGCGTCGATCTTCCATGCCGATGTCGATGCCACAGACCATGGCTGGTCTGGAGCAGGGTTCCCGGTCGAGCTCAGGTTATGTGCCACATAATGCTGTCCGTGGGGGTAACGCGATTCCCAACATCACTCAACCTTCACGAACAGCTTCTGGCGCTGGGACGTCTTCGCGGCAACATAGGCCTCCGCTCGTTCCCTCAATGCCCATGTCTGCTCCGCAGATGCCGCTCCACTTCCCTCCTCCTCCTCGGTCATCACACTCAACCAGCCCCCAGCAGCCTGGTCCTTCACTAAAATCCTGGCATCCGGTCATGCGGCGGCCTACTGACCCTATGGTCGGCAATATAGCGCGCCCTTTGTCCTCTGGCTCACTGCCACCCCAAACACCTTCGCCATCTTCTCCCGAATTTTCTGGTTACGTACCTGCAGAGTTGCAGCACCGTCCGATTGTCCCTGCTTCGCGCTCGGCGTCATCGACTGTTCCGAGCTCGCATATATCCACACCGACACAGCCTCAGCCCTCCTCATCTCTACATATATTGACCCAGGCGACCAATCGAAATTCTGGGCAGCTGCCCGCTGTGGGGACAGTCCAGTCGCCTATCGTTCTGGTAGACAGTCCGCTCTCGCGGCGACCAGAGTCGCCCCCGGAAGTCCACGAAGCGATCACGCCCCCGTCGTCAGGCCCTCCTGTGACTGTGGCCGTGAGCACTGATGAGCGGCGCGGTGATGAGATCGTGGTCGTCGAGCATCCACCATTGGCCGTGAAGATGGAGGTGGATGAGTCCGCAGAGGACGGGATGCAGGAAGACGATATGGAAGATATGGACGAGGACGATGAAAATGAGGTTGAGGTGCGACTTGGGCCCGATGGTCTGCGATTGGTCGAGGACTCTATCAACGAGATCTTTGGCGACGAGACGGGCAGCATCTGTGGGTTCTGCACGTGGGTAGCTTTTTTTTAGTGTTTAAACTCTGCGTCCTAACAGTCAGCGCAGTTTCATCCGTGATTCCGGGCTGCCCACAGAAGACATCGACTTCACAAACAAGACGCTAGAAGAAAAGGTCGCACATTGTATTACCTCTCACCCCGACTCTTGGGACGCATTTCGGCGTGCCGGCGGGGAATGATTGGTTTCTTGTTTCCAGTTTATTCTTGACGATTGTAGCTTTAACACCGTAGATATCTTGCTATTTTGTTGTATCGCAATCATTGTTCACATAAGGACACTAGCGCATGAATATACTCGATGCTTCTTGTCTTGCAACTTTCATATGTTTCACAACATTAGAATTGCAGATGATAGTACATTGGTTACTGCCACGTTGATGTTTGCTTCAAGAATACAGTTACACCACTTTCAGTGCTTCAAATGCGTGCACCGCTCCCCCGTGTGTCGTTGTTAGTCCGGGACGCGTTGCCCCCTGTGAATCCGCTCGAGATCCCCTCATTGCCCTGGGCGCGACCCTCCTTGAGGACTTTTGTCACGACGTCGGTGTCTTTATGAGTGCCGAAAACGGTGTCGAGTTGTTGGTAAGAGGGTTTGTCGAGCATACCCTGTGCACCTTGTGAAGAGAAGAACACCTGGAAGGCTGGGACCCGGTCAGCACGGCAGACCATAGTGATACATATTGGAACACACAATCGACCACATCGGCTAGGGGTATCGTGCTGCAAATAGGTTAGACCTAGCTACGACCAAGTGCAGAGGTATTCACGTCTCTGAAAGAAGAATCAGTGAGGGATCGCGTATCATCGGCAAATAAACACACCTCCACCCTTCCATTTGTTGAACTTCGGGAAGGGAAGACGATAAGATCAGTTCGTACACTCGATACAGATGGTCATGGAGTCGTACCTCTTCCGTGTTGACGATGACCACATACTCCTCAGTGGACTGAGAGTCGGGCTTGTAGATGACTTTGCTCGTAGCAACCATGATGAAAATGTGGTGGAAGTTGTGAAAGATTGAAACGTTTGGGTGGTTAGTTGAGGTCGTGTGGACGAGCGCTGGCCCTTAAGTAGGTCGATAGTGGCGGTGCTATGATATCATACAGCACATGACTGACGTCACGCGCCACTGGTGTGTGCGCTTCTCGACTGACGTTCGAGGCAATGGGAACTCGTCGGAGACTGCAGGTCCAGAGGAAAACCCGAGATGGACGTATTGGTAACTCAAGTTTTGGGCCCCAACGTCGATTTTTGGAGAACCCGACGATCTGGCGTACCGACTGATCTTTCCGACGTTGTTTTATGCTTAAATGGCAATTAAAATTACTGGTCTTTTCAGAGATCATGACACTTATGCTCAGTATTGAAGCCGGAATGGAATTTGTGATCTTCGAGATCCCTCTGGACAAGTCTCGGTAATGGGAGTCATGTGATCGCGTCATTCAGCTCCGACTCTCATGGTCGCGTTCGACGAGACATATTTGCTTCTTCTACTCTCGGACAGCAACCTTCCGACGGGATCCTTTGTAGCCTCATCCGGCCTTGAATCCTTCCTCACACATGGTTTCGGGACACCGTTATCGACGAGCCGTAATCTGGCCGGCCAGAAGATGGATACAATCGCGGTGTTCATCCGGGACAGCCTATCTACCTACGCACCCAGCGCGCTTCCCTTCGTTTCAGACGCACATTCTGTTGTCTCCGATCTGTGCAACAGTGGACAGAGTGTCGACGCTACCTTGGGGCTGATGAACCAACTCGAAGCCCTGTACGAATCGATGATGCTAAACGATGTCGCGAGAAGAGCATCAAAGTCGCAGGGAGTTGCACTCTTGTCCTTATACTCGAAGGGGTTCTCGAGGCCAAGCGGAATGTCAGTCACTCGTTCAGAGCCAGAGAAAGAATCGGGGGATATCAGTGTGCTGGTCGACCGATTCAAACTGATGGTACGGCGCGGCGATCCCGACGCCCATGGTCACCTTTCGACCTGCTGGGGACTCTTATGCGCTGCGTTGGGCCTGTCATTAGGTAGAACATGTTTGAAATGTTTTCTGCACAATCGCTGAACATGGATAGATCGAGCGCAGCACCTTCACCTCTATCTTCACGCCCGGTCGCTCCTCTCTGCCGCAGTTCGACTCAACTCGATTGGTCCCTACGCTGCTCAGCAGATACTACTTCATTCTGTCGAAAGCATAGTCGATCAAGAACTCCAGAGATGTGCGCATTTGCGTACTGGCATACTGCCACGAGAGAGAGAGGACAGCACTTGGGATGCAGCACTGAGTGGGCCTGCTAGCACCTGGCCACTGGGCGAGATTCTGGCTGCGAGGCATGATTTACAGCACTCCCGCATTTTCAACAGCTAGCGACCCGCAAACCACTGCCTCATGTAAGTACAACAAGCAAATACGCCCCCATGCTGAGACGACATGACCCAGTGCCATCAAGCAACCAGTCTTGCCCGGAATGTGTAGAGCCAAGCGTCTTTGTGTTCTTGGCACGCGGCGGCGGTGACTTCCCGGAGGGGCGTGACAAAAATGGCGCGTGTCCCAGGAAATAGAGAGGCGCGAGATAGCAAGAGGTGTGGAGATGCAGAAGTCTGGCACGGGCCTGTGATCAGGATAAAACGGAAGTCAGGGAGCGAAAGGCCGGTCTCGCAACGGAACAACAACAACATTACCAGGACTTGCGGTCGTGCCTAGAACTTTGAAAGTGCAACAGTCCACAGCGTGGTTTACATCTGTTGAAGTGTAGGCGTCTCTGGTGCTGGGAGCGCTCACTCGGTGAACACAATCCATGTGACCTCATTTCAGAACTCGCGACACTGTTCTTGCCTATCAGACTGAAAGTGTTGTCATAGCATGGTGTGAATATAGAGATTAACTAGTCGCTGGGATACTCCACTCGGCGTGCGCGAGGGATTTGATCGTCATCGAACGCGACCTGAAAGTTGTACTGGAACAGGTGAGCGTGGCAGCGAGGCGCATAAGCTCTTTGAACGCACCCCAAGAGGATATTCGGCTGACTGGGGCCGTGCCACTTTCCACTTGAACTGGGCCAAGTTGACCTTCCCGCCTATACTCTCAAACTTGTCCACCATATCCTTCAGTACGGCTCGATCCCAGGGAGACTCCGCGCGCTGGGCTTCAGGCCAATTTTGGGGAACACTGCGAGTCGGAAAGAGCACGGGCCTAGTTGCAAGTGCAGGCATGTCGCTGTCGTCTTCGTCGTCAATGACTGCAACATACATCTAGTCAGTTCTCTAGTGCAGAACCCATCCAAAAAAGCTCACAAATTGGGCTTGGAATGCCGTATAGGTAGTTGAAGGACATGGAAAAAAACAATGCCCCATCGTAGCTGCGGCCTCCCGGTGACTCCATAAATATCTGATATTCGGGCAAGAGCTGGATTGCATCTCTGAATTCCGCAGCTGTGATTGTGTAGCCTACGACGAAAGGAAAAGACGGCTTCGCGCGAGGGCGTCGTTTCGACTTCCGAGTAGAGGGGGACATGTTGTGCAATTGAACCGATCACAGTATTCACATAGCAGGTGGCACAATGCCTGACCTCTGACGTTGAGGCGGACGGAGACAGCTCTGGGTGCGATTCAGAAGCGGATCATATTGATCTCTGATCCGGCATGCGAACCCACATTCCTCGCGGTCTCCCTGTGGTCTCCCTGTCTGCTTCCTCTGCTTTCGAACAGTTAACTTTTCAGCTAGATCCTTCGTAGCTTCGTCCGGTCTCGAATTCCTCCTCACACATGGCTTCGGGACACCGTCGTCGGCAAGCCGTACTTTAGCTCGTCTAAGGATGGGCACAATCGCGGTGTTCTTTCGGGATGTGCTCATTTGCGTACTGGCATTTTGTCTCGGGAAAGAGGATAGTCCCTGTGGGATGTAGCACTGAGTGGCTTGCCACTGGGCGAAATTCTGGCTGCGAGGCATGATCTACACCATTCCCGCATTTTCAGCAGCTGGCGACCCGCAGGCTACCTCATGTAAGTACAACAAGTAAATATGCCGCAATGCTGAGAGACGATATGAGCCAGTGCCATCAAGCAACGAGGGCTAGTCTTGACGAGACTTCCGCCTGGGCCCTGACCAAGTTGGCCAAGTACGAGATCATCAAGGTATCCTAGATTGGTTTCAGTGTCTAGTGTGAGCAGAGAAGTGGTCTGATCGAAAGCTACCTGGAGAGCAGCGTTGAATGCCTTGTCTTCGCCTACAGCGCTGATGCATAGAGCATCCATCAGATAACGTCCGAGCGCCTTGTCGCCAGGAATTTCGTCGGCGATGACGCTGCGCACGTATCCCAGGACACGATCGAGCATTTCAGACACACTTGTCAACGTCGCATCGATGTTTGTCAGCGAAGATACGGGAGCAGAGGAGTTTTCGGGACTGTCGACGGCTTGCATGAGAAGATCCACTGTAGAATTGTCAGGGTACGAAAGATGGATAATCGCAGTGTGACATACAGCCGCTCCGTTCAGTCTCGTGAAATTGAAGGTGTACAGGGACTGGCACAAAAATGCAATTCTCGGGCTTGGGGAATACACCAACAGGGGAGCTGGGAGTCTCGTCTGAGCAGAGAACAAAAACACAGATTCAATGACCGACCTGACAAACGCCTGTACGCCCGCTTCGATCCCCTCTTCAATGCCTGTATTCAGGGCAACATGTATCGCCTGATGCGGTGCAGTCTCTTGCGAGTAGAAATTTTGAATAAGCGCCGAGTATGTATTGAGATTCGAGCCTGTTGAGTACCTGTAACGGAAGATCCATCACAGTGTGCTCGTCCAGTGGCGATCCACTCACCATCCAACGATAGTCTCTTTCGGTGTCACCCGGGTGTGCAGCTCGTACATCGACCGGTGATACTCCATGTCCACCGCGACTTGCTCATCATTTTCGCTGTGTAGCACGGCGAAGGAAGATCGGACGTGGACTTGGGTGTTATCTGTGGAACGAGTTCCCAGAAGTGTTCCGATCACTCGAGGCTGGTCATCTGCGCGTCGGAGGTAGTGGTCGAGGATGGAGAACAAGGCGCCAGGATGGATCGTGATGCTGCTCGGTGTGCGGCTAACAGAGGCATCATATTCGCGAGCGATTGAAGACCCTGAATGCAGAAGAGACGTACGGCACGGATGGCGCTGCGATTGTCGATGTCTGGATATGCACGGCCGAGCTGCCTCCCAGTGCCATCGTCGTGGAACAAGAGAGATGACTTTTTGATCGAGGGCAAAATTTTGGCATATGACACGTGCCGTGCAACTGCTCTCTCCGCTTTCCACCATGCCCTCCGAAGAAACAAAAGTTCGCTGAAACCCCTTCCATTGTCCGTTTCTATGCACTGACTGTTCGTCAGGAACGCATTGTTAAGGTCATTGAAATCAGTCGGGTGTGTGGAAGGAAATTTCCTCACACCGTTGTTGGGCTAACTATCTCTAGATGACGCTCCACTACGGCTGGATCCCTCTCATTATCTACGTTGGATTCACGCGAAGCAACCCGCAGCCTTCGCTCATCAAGTGCGTCCGAATGCTCAAATATCTTCTGCCCTAGACTGACTCCCTTGCAGGCTCATTTCTCCTCTGGCATAAGGACGGAGCCTTGTGAGTTGGGTTCTCCGCCTGATACACCGTGATTATATACGTCGTGGTGATGCCCTCGGGCATTCCGAATGCATCCCAAGGGATGGCTACTGCTGTAACCGTTTTGTTTTCTTCGGGTTTATGCACCGGCTTCAAGTGTAGAATGGACAAGGCCAGATCTGATGCACTCCTGTTTTCGGCCTCTTTTCGCAACGTTACAAGCTGACTATCCTTCTCAGACAACTTAGCAGCTTGCGCCATTTCCCATACTACTTGACTGTACTGTATTAATGATCATGAATGCACTCTCGCTCACCAGAATGACGGGTCTCATCACGCAACGACTTTTCTCTTCACGAACAAGACTCCTCCGCCAGACACTCTTCGTTCGCACCATCGCAGCGTCTCTGTCGGTTCCGGATTTCTGCCTGCAAGGCTGTAAAGCAGCGCACGATTTTGCTTTTCGCTCCCAAAGACCTCGTTTTCCTCGTGTTGGGAATAGTCTACGGCAAGCTCGTCGTCTGCTCGAACTGATTACACTAAAAATCAAGTCAAATGCACATGACGCGACCTTTCTCGAAGACAGCCATGGTGTCAAAATATTTCTGCACGAAGAATATGGCATTTTCGTCTTTGCTCGGCCGTTTCGATTCGGCGGAAGGATTCTTCACAATGGGGAGTTTGAGTCGGTCTAGACCGGAATCAAACAAGGCTACAGATACTGGCGAGTCCCTGAATGACCGGTCAGATTGATGGCAATACGAATGGTACTAATAGCCTACTTGCCGAGCCCTCCAACAAACGCCCAGACACGGGCTATCAAGCTCATATACGAGGACAGTGTCCAAGAATGCCGATCTGAATCCTTGAGTTTAGAACACGGTTGGCAACAGGATAGCCCACCGGGATTGACCTGCACATCCCCCAAGAAGTAGGCAGACAATTCGACGAGGACGACAAGTGACGGCTGACCCTCGAGCACAGTCTCAGAGGGGGTCTTGTCGACATCTGTAGAGAGCATAGACAGCAGAAATGCGAAATGGGCAGGAGTTGGGGGATAGCTAGACAGAAGTGTCATCAACCCACGGTGAACAGGCCAAAATCTGAGAGTCGCAGACTAGACCGTTGTGCACCAGGACAGCTCAAGCGTCCTTCCTTGCCCGAAATGTGTAGAGAGCCAAGCGTCGTTGTGTTCTTGAAGCGCGGCTGCGATGACTCCCTGTGAGGGCGTGATCAAGACGGCGCGCGTCCCGGGGAACAGAGTGGCGCGAGATAGTAAGAGGTGTACGGGTGCAGACGCGTGGTACGGCCCTGTGACCAGGATAGAGCGGAAGTCAGGGAGCGAAAGACCTAACTCGCAAGGAAACAGCGACAACATAACCAGGACTTGCGGTCGTGCCTAGAAAGAGCAGCAGCCTGAGTTCCACGACATTGTTTACATCAGTGGAAGTGTTTGTATGGAATCGTGCAGGCCGCGCAGGGTGATGATGCCCCAGGAGAGCTTACCTGGTGAACATGACCCGTGCGCCCTCGTTTCAGAACTCGCAGCACTTTTCTTGGAATAGCGGACTCGAAGCAATGCGATAAAATTGTGTGGATACAGCGATAAACTAGGTGTCGGGATACTCAACTCGGCGTACAGGAGGGATTTGATCGTCATCGAGCGCGACCTGGAAGTTGTACTAGAACAGATGAGCATGGCAGCAAGAAGCATGAGCTCCCTGAACGCACCCCAAAAGGATAGTCGTCTGACTCGGGCCGTGCCACTTTCCACTTGAACTGGGCCAAGTTGACCTTCCCGCCGATGCTTTCGAATTTGTCCACCATGTCCTTCAGTACGGCTCGATCCCAGGGAGACTCCGCGCGCTGGGCTTCAGGCCAATTTTGGGGAACGGTGCGAGTCGGAAAGAGCAGGGGCCTAGTTGCAATCGGAGGCATGTCGCTGTCGTCTTCGTCGTCAATGACTGCAACATACATCTAATCAGTTCTCTAGTGCAGAACCCATCCAAAAAAGCTCACAAATTGGGCTTGGAATGCCGTACAGGTTGTTGAAAGACATCGAAAAGAACATTGCCCCATTGCAGCTGCGGCCTTCCGGTGACTGCATAAATATCTGATATTTGGGCAAGAGCAGGATTGCATCTCTGAATTCCGCAGCTGTGATTGTGTAGCCCACGACGAAAGGAAAGGATGGCTTCGCGCGAGCGCGCCGTTTTGACTTCTGAGTAGAGGGGGACATGTTGAGCACAGCAACAACGTGCGATGCGATTGTTTGATAATGTCATCACATAAGATTAGGTGGTAGAAGGTGGTAGTACATAACGTTTCAATCGTACCACTTCGTATCTGCCACTTCCAGATGACCTTTCATCTCGATCCTCATGCGCCACCCGACACATATCCCGGAATTTATCAAGATGCTCTCAATCGTTGGATCCGATGGGAAGGCACCCCGCGCTTTCAGAGTCAAGCATATGGGCCAATAAACGGGTTTCTTCAAATTAAGTTCGGCAACGAGCATTTCTTTGTGAAGCCGCAGAAGGGTCTCAGAGCCCCGATCCCTGGCGCTGGTGCGTATGAATTCATGCTCCAAGTCTTCTACTCATGGACAACGTTGCAGACAGTTATGACGATGACGATGATGTTGCCTTTGCTGAAGAAGACGAGGCTGAGGACGACTCCTCAGATAGTACGGGGAGTACTGACTCCTCGTATGTTTCTGGGAGTCGCAACTCTTCAGATAGTTCTGGAAGTGAAAACAATGAAATGCGAGCCGAGTCTGTGATTCTTCGACCCCGAGTGCAGCCTCCCCAGGCTATGGATTTGGACGAAGGTGATGGTCATGGCAGCAAAGACATCAACAGTACGTGTTCTGCTTAGCCTTGACATGGGATGTGTTGTTCAACCGAGATCTAGGACGTAGTAGGAGCAATAGCAATCGTAGCATAGACTCAAACCGTACATTTTGACTTTCCTTGCTGTCTTGATCTGACCAATTGCAACAGATAACGAGGGCATGTCATTGGCCAGTCAGAAGGGCACCCGTTTTCCGGATTTCACAGTCGAAAAAGTCTTTCGGGATGGCCCCGACGGCCAGATATTTCCCCACAGGATTGCTTTGTTGGTAGAGCTTGGCTCAAGAGCTACTCTGGAAAGGATGATAGCTGCCGGTGGCCCTAAAGCTCGCCGTCGTTTCTATGAGAGTATGCTCAGGCAGCTCAGACAGTATCTGTGGCGGGCTTGGGGTCAATCGACATTTACACAGCCAATACTGGGTATGGCAATGGTCGGGAACCAAGTGTACTTCATCAAGATCAAGGACCAAGTTTTTCAGCCAGTTTTCAAGGTTGACCGCCATGATGAGTGGCCTTCAATGTTTGAACAGCGATCAAGATTCATTGAGCTGTTGGATGCTGTGAAGATGGAGTACATGAACCTTCCCACCCCTCAGTAGTACAGTATGTTTGGGCAGAATCTTGGAATGCAATGATCACATTACACCCTGCCATTGTAGTTGGCTGACAGCTATCTCAATGACAAAGGGCAGGCCAGACTAGTGCTGGGCCATAAAATATTTTGGCCTTGCAATCAATTAATTTTTTTTTTGTGGAATGTTTATTGGTGTCAAGTATCTTGTTAGCGATCAATGACGCCTCACTGACCTGATCTCGTATATTATCCAGATTAGATAGAATGTGATTGATTGACAGCTATTCCCTGGACAATGAGAGCTCCTATCCTCTCTCTCATCGTACTAGGTATGTATTTATCCTAGATCTCACTATAATACTCATACTATCCTCTCTCTCATCGTACCAGACCAAATACTATATCCTCTCATAGGTTATGGGCCCCGAGAAGCTCTAAACTGCCGGAACACTGGAATCTGAGACAACCCCTGACCACACTCCGCTGGACTCCGTCCCACCTACAAGTCCAAAGATACCTGTCAGACACCTTGCGCTAACACTGACACCAACACCAACACCTATTGCCCATGGCAGACAACCACAACAATGGAGGCAAGAAATGGAAGGAGTTGAAACTACCTCCTATTGTGGTACACAACAACGGCACGAGCAACTATGGTGACTTCAAGAAGAAGGGAGAACTAATTCTCAACGCAGCTGGCTATTGGAAGCATATCAACGGTCCCCTGTACAATCCTCCCCAAATCCCGACTCTTGTCCAGACGACCATGGCCCAAGGACTGGATCCCCATGGTGTCTTGACCTGGTTCACAATGCCTGGAAATGAAGATGCAGTAGGGACTGCTGAAACAAACGCTGCCTCGTGGCTTGAAACAGACTGCAAAGTCAAAGCAGTGATTGGGAAAGTTGTCCCCGATGGCATGTGGCACATAGTCAAAGGGTGCAAGACCGCACATGAGATGTGGTTCACGCTGCGTGACAAATTCAAGCTGTCGAACCACTCTGTTGCAATGGCACTGAAGCAACAAATCATGGCCTGTCAATGTGGAGATGACCCAATCAACTGGCATGAGCAAATGGTGAAACAATACCAGAAGTTGCAAGAGATGGGAACCTCGACCCTTTCTGACTTGGATTTCCTGTGACAATCAACAAGAAATAATGTCGAAAAGAGAAGTCAATTCGAAGACTGGAGAATACAACCAAGTAGCTACAGTATTTATACCCAAGTCCAGTCTGAGTCATATCTACAACTAATGAGTCATAAGGCTATGTACCGCATGGAGCACTGGTCATGGGTTGTAGTAGAACCTTCCGGAGCATATGTCGCGCAGCCTTGAATCGATAAGGACAATCCCTGGAACCCCTAGCCCGGGCCGTCTGATGCCGTGATCCGTGATAAGATAACCTGTGCCAAGATAAGATAAGATCATCGAAGATAAGATGAAAAAGTGGCCGAACTATGACATTACCCCCTCTCTAGGGTCGATGTCCTCATCGACTTGGCCAATGGGTGTGAAGACGTTTTCGTAAGGGTCAAACAGTTGTCGTTGGGGGTATGGGAGGCGCTCGTCTTTGGGTTTGTAGCGTTGGATGAGATAATCCCAGTGTCCGGCTTCGAGCGTTGGCAGGAGGCGAATGTGTGTGTCTGGGTTGGATTGTTTCCTCTGCCAAGCCTTCAGGACTCTTCGCATGGGTAAGGTGACGTGATGGTTCCCAGGTGTTCTGGCTATGCGGCCATCCCTTCCATTTGACCAAGTATTGTTTTCCCCAGCCAACGTTCCGTTCCTTCACAATTTCTTCGACTTCCCACTCTTCTGCTCCTCCGATCATCTTGGCTACGGGTCTTTTCTCTCGGCGATGGGGGGGTGGTTCGTGATAGGGTGTCAACAGTGACTCATTGAACACCGGGTGTCTTCGGTCCATATCCGGCAAATCCAGCTTCCATGCGGCCGCTCCAACCTTCTCCAGTATCTTGTATGGCCCCAATCTCTTGTTGCTCATCTTCTTTGAGGGCCTGTCCGTCTCGATATTGTCTCCTTCTATGTACACCTTCATCCCAGCCTTCAACTCCGGAACTTCTTTTCTTTGTTTATTGTAGTATTTTTTCATTTTTTCATTTGCTTTTTCCAATGCTGCTTTTGCTTCGTCTCGTATTTCTTTGATTCTTTTTACAAATTCCTCTGCCGACTCGTTTCTTGATTCCATCCGCTGCTCTACTCCCTTCCATGGGTGATATCCGTGATTGGCGTAGAATGGTGATATTTTGGTAGACGTGTTCATTTTGTCGTTATATGCGAACTCCGCCATTCCCCGGGTTCATCTCCACGCCCAACATCCGATTCGTCTCCTTCATGAAGCCCTTGATGTATCGTGAGTCTCTGTCGGTGATGATTTTGCGAGGGATCCCGTGATAACGGAAAACCCGGTCCCTGGTTAATCGTGCGACTCCTTCACTGCTGATGTCAGTACTAATTGGTTTGACATGGATCATTTTGGTGAGGGTGTCACACCACACGTGAATCGCGTCATACCCATTACTGACCGGTAAGGGTCCGATTTGATCCATTGAGATGATTTCCCACGGCGCATTTGGGACTGCATGCGGGTGTAGAGTCCCCGTCCTCGCCCTTCTGGTCTTGGTCCGTTGGCACGCCTCGCACATCTGGATGTATTTCTGAATTTGGTTTCCCATCCTTGGCCACCAGTAGTTCCTTTCCACCATCTCCTGCGTTCGGTTGATCCCTGCATGTCCGACCAGGGGTGTGTCGTGGTGTAGCCCGATGATCTTGTCCCGCAGCTCCTCATCCCTTGGCACGTAGAGCTTCCCGTGATACGTGATGAGCCCATCTTCCTTCTTCCATCCGACGAGTGACTTCTCCAAGGCCGCTTTGACGCTCCCATCAATCGATCGAAGGGCCTTGATCTCATCGATCAGCTGTTGATCTTGCCCTTGGAATGTGACTTCTTGTGATCGGAAGAACTCGGGCTTCAGCAACGTGACGTCCTTGTTGTCATTCTTGCCCTGATCATGATCCGCTCGTTGAGACAGGAGATCCGCCTTGCGGTTGAGTGTGCCGGGCCGGTGTCGTAAGGTGAAATCAAACTCTGCCAACTCCGTGATCCACCGTGTTTGCCGTCGATTGAGCTTCTGCGGTTTCCAGAAGTATTCAAGATTCTGATGATTGGTGAAGATTTCAAACGTTTCCGTGGCCCCCAGGAGTAGCTGCCTCCATTCGTCCAATGATAGCATGATGGCGAGCATTTCCTTGTTGTAGATCTCGTAATTTCGCTCGGTTTCGGTCAATGCGTGCGAAATAAATGCGATTGGGCGCCAGACGCCGTCTTGGTTTTGACTCAAAACGGAGCCTGTTGCCCCTTCCGAAGCATCGGCTTCCAGACGATATTGGCCAGTGTCATTTGGCAGCGCTAAGACCGCATCCTCTGCGATTCTCTTCTTCAGTCCATCAAAAGCCGCATGCTCCTCTGTACCCCATGACCATCCTGCCTTTCCTGTCAGCCGTGTCAATGGCTTGGCAACCTCCACATATCCCCAAACAAAACGCCGATAGAAGTTGGTGAACCCCAGGAATGCTTGCACTTGTTTGACGCTCTTTGGTTCTGGCCATTCCATCACGCCCTTGATCTTGACTGGGTCCATCCGCATCGAATTGTGCCCGATAATTACACCCAGATACTCGATTTCTGTGCGTTCGAACTCGCACTTTTCGAGTTTCAGGTACAGTTTGTGTTTCTGGAGCAATTCGAGTACCCGTTTCGTGATCCGCCGATGCTCGTCCAAGGTTTCTGTGAAGATCAATATATCATCCAAGTAGACTACCACATGTCCCTCGTTGATTAGTTCTCGGAGTATGTCGTTCATCATGTTTTGGAAGGTTGCCGGGGAGTTCGTGAGGCCAAAGAACATAACTAAGGGTTCGTATAGCCCGCGGTTTGTGCGGAACGCAGCCTTCCACTCATTGCCCTCTTTGATCCGTACGTTGTTGTACCCCCATCGGATGTCTAGCTTGGTGAAGAACTTGGCACCGCAAAGGTTATGGACCAGTTCGGAGATCAGCGGCAGCGGGTATCGATTTCGGATCGTCATCTTGTTCAACTTCCGATAATCTTGGACAGGCCGTAGCGAGCCATCCTTCTTCTTGACAAAGAAGAACGCTGATGCCATGGGTGATTTTGATGGTCTGATCCGTCCGCTCGCCAGGTTCTCTTGCAAGAACTCATCGAGTTTGACCTGCTTGTTTTGCGATAAGGGGTACACCTTGCAGTCCACTGCTTTGGAGCCAGCTTTGAGTTCGATTGCATGATCCCATGCTCGTCGGTCCGGCAGCGAGTCAAACGATTGCTTGGCGAATACCTTGACGAATTCCCGATATTGATCTGGAATCTTTCCCTCGGTCATTCTCTCCTTCTCCTTTTCTGCTTCTTCTGCGAATTTCTGTGCCGGCGTTTCCTTCAGCCGTAAATCCACTTCCTTCCCAAAATCGACCAACAGGATCGATTCTCCCTCCTCCAGATCCGGTGCGTCCGTGCCCAGAACGATTGCATCCATATCGATCATTGCTTGATGCTCCTCGTGACCCCTCATGTGACACCGCTCTGGGCATCGGCTGAATCTCATGGTCTGCTCCTGCCAATCCACCTCGGGGTTGTGTTCCGTCAGCCAATCCAGACCGATGAAGATCCGGGCCTTCCCTAAGCACGTCAGAAGGAACGTGCGCATCTCCACATGAGGACCGATTCTCATCCTTAGATCGACGTAGTGTGTGATCCGGCGGCTGATGTTCTTGGTGTTGTCGGCGTTATGAGCCACAATGGGTTGTGGAAGCTCTTGGATATCCAACCTTTCCGCCCGCGTGTAGTCGGTATCAATGCAGCAGGTACTGCAGCCACTATCAAGCAGCGCCTTTACTCTGCGTGTCTTTCCCGAGTCCAGGCCCGTGATCTGGACATATACGTCCATCAAATGCCTCTTTCTTTTGGCCTGGTATCTGCGCAATTCCTGCGCCAATCTGCTGGGCTGGGGGCCCTTCTGTTTCTCGGCCGCCAATTTTCTCTGGACAGCATCCGGCACCCTGGTCCATTTGGGTGCTTCTGGAACCTTGATTTCGGCAGATTCCTTAGGCGCTTCCTCCTTTTTCAAGGATCGAGCCTCCGGAGCAATGCTCCCCTTTTTGGTCTTTGTTGACGTGGTTTCTTCTCCACGAGCCATAAATACGTAGGAGTCCAAAAATAATTTATCCGCAGCCGCTATCTTCTGATCCTTTTTATCTTGTAAATATTTTCTATTTAAAGCTATTTTTTCTTTACGTTCTTTTTCCATCTTGGCAACAAGAAAATCGTGAATATTAGTGCGTAACGAGTCTGGGAACGTGTATGTATAATGAGGCATATCGTTCGTATCTTTAATCGAAACAAGTACAGAAAAACGTCCATAGTCCGGGCGCTCCACCTCCTTGGCTAGAGGAGTGGAGCGCTTCAAAAACCCTTCTCGCGCAGCTTCTCAGCGATCTCCTTGAGGAACTTGTTGTCCTTGTCCCCATTCTCGATCTCTTCCAGCATCGTGGCCCGATTGAAGAATGTGCGCTTCTTCCTTGGCTCCGGACAGCTCCGCGCAATGTGCCCGGGCTGTTGACAGTTGTAGCAGATGACATTGTGGCCGCGGTGATAGGCTGGCTACCAGACGCGCTCTGCACCAGCTCTGTAAGGGCGTATTTTTGCGCTTTTACAGAGTTTCCTCTTGAACCATTCGGTGCATCGTGTCGCGGTTGACAGTGTTGCGCTCAGTAGGACTTAAGGGTCTACTGCCCAGTCGACGACTGTGGATAGTGTCGACGATAGCAAGGCAGTCAGACCACTACTGTGGAACTGGTCTTATGAGTCTACACCAGGCTCAGGGCCATTAGTGACGAACGCTTGGACCGCGACCATTCCCCCAAAAAGGGATCTGTCGTTGCATCGACTTCTCGAAAAGGGTCATTCTCTGCAGATGGGAACTTGGGCTGAAGGGCTGAGCAATGCGCGACGTTCTCAATAATAGAACTACTACTGGACAGGACTTGGCGTTACGAGACTTAAACCATCTTGTCGCGGCAACTCCCGGTTTTGAGTTGGACGTTTCCTCAGATCATGCCACGACGACGACTTGTCACATGTCAGGATCCATTCGATCACGGGACATTGAGGACGCGTCGCGGTGACACTCCCAAGTGCCACGGCGATTCGCGTCAACACCCAAACACACTAGAAATCGACACGGCTAGATCCGTGAACCGAACCATGTGGGGGACGACTGGCGTGCCTAGGGCCATACGGCTTCTTGGGGCGCCCACGTTGGTCTCACATGCCAAGACATACCCGTTGGCCAATCCAGCACGTTGTATTCCAAAAGTATGACGCGGTGGGTTGACCCACATCAAAAGTATCATATGGACTATGGGGCGGGGTCCTGATCACTCAGGTCCTGTCCAATTGTTCAACTTTTCAATTACCCTAAAAGGCAACCGATCTTAGATAGCGTAGCTACTATGCAGTTGTACAGGACTTTACTAAGCATCGTCGTAGACAGTATAAGTAGGACGTCGTTTCTTTGTATTAAGGAGCTTTTCCCCGGACTGTGAATCACTCTCATTTCAGATTGTTTTGTACAATTTGCGTGTCGCGTGATTCCACCCTAAGAAGTTCTGCTACCCCTGCCCGGTCGCGACGAGTTGCTCCCTGAGCACTTGTAGCTACTGTGATTTGAGTTTGAGTTGAGATATCAGAAAGTCGGATTCGCCGCATCTGGTATTGTTGCGGCATTTAGTGTCGTCGCCTTAGGGCTTTGTTGAGATCGTTCCACACCCCTAGCTTGGCAGTGCGTCGACTAGTTGTGCTCGGGTTGTTTTGGTCAGTTGGCAGTGCGTCGACTTGAGAACTTTGGTTCCACACTTCTTGCTTGGCAGTGCGTCGACAAGTTGTGCTCGGGTTTTGGACATTGGATATTGGCTGTTAGTTGGCAGTGCGTCGACGCGGCATTTTGGTTTACTAGTTGGCAGTGCGTCGACTCAGTACTTTTGGTTGTGTCAGTTGGCAGTGCGTCGACTTGACATTTTGGTTCTACTAGTTGACAGTGCGTCGACTCAGTATATTGGTTGTATCGGTTGGCAGTGCGTCAACTTGATATTTGGGCTTTGCGTCACCATCTAGACGCTGTCGCTACAAGGGATCTTAATACTTCGTATTAAGTTCTGACTTGTTATATTGTTGGTTGTGGATTGGATTAGTGTTGGTTGTGTTTGTATAGAAGATATTGGTTGAGACACCACTGTTTGCTATATATATATATCCTTGTCGTCGACTTCGTCTTCCGCGACTATTGGATCTGCATCTATTGAGAGTTGTGATACTGGTGTTCTGTCCACCCCGAAGCCCTCGCATCTTTCACACACTGAGAAGCTGATTACGAGGAGTGTGAACGTGTTTTATATTTGGGTTTACTTTCATAGTAGATTCACTTGTGAGCACGCCCTCAGCATTTCAGCGGGCGTGGGTGCAATTGATTTCCATCGGAACCGGTTCGTTGGCAGCGGGTCAGGCCGGAGCAGGTGCAGGCGTTGTTGGGGCAGCCTGAGGGCGGAACTGGGGAGGTGGTCGTTGCGTGGGGTGCCCATACGATGCTTTGCGCAGCTGATCGCGCAGAGCATTTGCCTTGATGTTGACACACCAGTCCTTGAAGGCTCCATACACTTTGGGGAGAGGGACACTGGTGTTGTAGAGGCGACTGGCGATCTTGCTACTGAGTCCACGCTCGAGGAACTCAATGAGGATGTTGTCTTGATCCCTCTTCTTGTACTCGCCCTTGTCGTCGGTGGTGGTGACCACATTGTACCCCGCGTCCGAGGCCAGCATCTCGAAGTCGGAGATATAATCCGCAAAGGATCGTTTGTTCTGGCGCAGGGCCATGAGTCGAGCGGCGGCAACTTGCTCCGCGTTGGAATCCCCGAAGGCCCTCTGAAGCTCCTCCAAGAAGGTTGCCGAGGTGACCCCAGCTTTTATCCCGCTAAGGCTCTCGAAGTTACGCTGCTTCCAATTCATCGCCCATCTCGAGGCAGCGCAGCTTGTGCCAGCCTCATTGCGGAGGTAGGAGAGGATGAACAGGATTTTTGTCTCATCCTGCGAGAATTCCGACCAGTATGCACCAATGTAGGTGGTGCATGAGTCCACGAAGCCCATGTACTTGGTTTTGTCCCCATCGAAATAGGGGGGGTTGGTGGTGAGAGTGATGCGGTGGTGTCCCGACATGGTAGGAGCCGGTGTGGTCGGTGGGGGTGAGGGGGATTGTTTGGAGGGTAACTTGTCGAGGTCAGGAATTTTGTCTTCAGGCGGCAGGAGGGCAAGGTATGGATCGGAGGGCCCGGGTTGATTCTGATGTGCCAGATTGGGCGACGATGGTATGATGGGGGGAGGAGACGGACTCCCAGACGACAATGGGAATTGGTACGAAATGGTGGATTCGTGTGCTGTACAAGCACTCGAGGAAAGGTTCTGTTGCTAGCAAAAAGATCCCGGGCCTAGCTCTTCACGTGCCCGATGATCCCGAGGTGTGTTTTCCCAAAGGTCTCCGCAGCACTCCTTGTAGCTACCGTAAGGCTTGGGTCGGGCTCAACGTTACCCGTGGCCTGGTGCTGTTTGCTCGATACGAACCCTTCACTGCGATGGTGGAGGACGACTAGATGATTCGGTAGAAAGGTGAGTGGTGTGACAATCAACCCAAAAACAAAGTCGAAAAGAGAAGTGAATTCGAAGACTGGAGAATACAACCAAATAGCTACAGTATTTATACCCAAGTCCAGTCTGAGTCATATCTACAACTAATGAGTCATAGGGCTATGTACCGCATGGAGCACTGGTCATGGGTTGTAGTAGAACCTTCCGGAGCATATGTCGCGCAGCCTCGAATCGATAGAGATAACCCCTGGAACCCCTAGCCCGGACCGTCTGATGCCGTGATCCGTGATAAGATAAGTCGTGCCAAGATAAGATAAGATCGCTGATGATAAGATGAAAAAGAGTCGAATTATGACATTACCCCCTCTCTAGGGTCGATGTCCTCATCGACTAGGCCGATGGGCGTGAAGACGTTTTCGTAGGGATCGAAGAGTTGTCGCTGGGGATATGGAAGGCGCTCGTCTTTGGGTTTGTAGCGATGGATGAGATAATCCCAATGTCCGGCTTCGAGAGTTGGTAGGAGGCGAATGCGTGTGTCTGGGTTGGATTGTTTCCTCTGCCAATCTCTCAGGACCTTCTTCGCGTGGGTAAGGTGACATGATGGTTCCCAGGTGTTCTCGCTGTGCGGCCATCCCTTCCATTTGACCAAGTACTGTTTTCCTCGGCCGACTTTTCGCTCTTTCACGATTTCTTCGACTTCCCACTCTTCTGCTCCTCCGATCATCCTGGCTACAGGCCTCTTCTCTCGGCGATGGGGGGGTGGTTCGTGATAGGGTGTCAACAGTGACTCATTGAACACCGGATGTCTTCGGTCCGTGTCCGGCAAATCCAGCTTCCATGCAGCCGCTCCAACCTTCTCCAGTATCTCGTATGGTCCCAATCTCTTGTCGCTCATCTTCTTTGATGGTCGATCCGTCTCGATATTTTCCCCTTCTATGTACACCTTCATCCCAACCTTCAACTCCGGAACTTCTTTTCTTTGTTTATCGTAGTATTTTTTCATTTTTTCTTTTGCTTTTTCTAGTGCTGCTTTTGCTTCGTCTTGTATTTCTTTGATTCTTTTCACAAATTCCTCCGCCGACTCGTTTCTCGACTCCATCCGTTGCTCCACTCCCTTCCACGGGTGATATCCGTGATTCGCATAGAATGGTGATACTTTGGTGGACGTGTTCATCTTGTCGTTATATGCGAACTCCGCCATTCCCAGCCACTCCGACCAGTCCGTTTGATGGTAATTGACGTAGATGCGGAGATAATGCTCGATCTCCTGATTCATGCGTTCTGTTTGCCCATCCGTGATCGGGTGATATGCGGTCCCCGGGTTCATTTCCACGCCCAACATCCGATTCGTCTCCCTCATGAAGCCCTTGATGTAACGCGAATCCCTGTCGGTGATGATCTTGCGAGGGATCCCATGGTATCGGAAGACTCGGTCCCTGGTTAATCGTGCCACTCCTTCGCTGCTGATGTCAGTACTGATTGGTTCGACATGGATCATTTTGGTGAAGGTGTCACACCACACATGAATTGCGTCATACCCGTTACTGACCGGCAAGGGTCCGATCTGATCCATGGAGATGATTTCCCACGGCGCGTTTGGAACTGCATGCGGGTGCAAACTCCCTGTCCTGGCTCTTCTGGTCTTGGTCCGCTGGCACGCTTCGCACGTCTGGATGTATTTCCGAATTTGGTTCCCCATCCTTGGCCACCAGTAGTTCCTTTCCACCATCTCCTGCGTTCGGTTGGTCCCAGCGTGTCCGACCAAAGGGGTGTCGTGGTGTAGTCCGATGATCTTGTCCCGCAACTCCTCGTCCCTTGGTACATAGAGCTTCCCATGATACGTGATGAGCCCATCTTCCTTCTTCCATCCGACGAGTGACTTCTCCAAGGCCGCCTTGACGCTTCCATCAACTGATCGAATGGCCTTGATTTCATCGATTAGCTGCTGATCCTGTCCCTCGAATGTGACTTCTTGTGATCGGAAAAACTCGGGCTTTAGTAGCGTGACGTCCTTGTTGTCGTTCTTGCCCTGATCGTGATCTGCTCGTCGAGATAAGAGATCCGCTTTGCGGTTGAGTGCGCCGGGCCGGTGTCGTAAGGTGAAATCGAACTCCGCCAACTCCGTGATCCATCGTGCTTGCCGTCGATTGAGCTTCTGCGGCTTCCGGAAGTACTCGAGATTCTGATGGTCGGTGAAGATCTCGAACGTCTCCGTGGCTCCCAGGAGTAACTGCCTCCATTCGTCAAGCGATAACATGATTGCGAGCATTTCCTTGTCGTAGATCTCGTAATTTCGCTCGGTTTCGGTCAGTGCGTGCGAAATAAATGCGATTGGGCGCCAAATGCCGTCTTGGTTTTGGCTCAAAACTGATCCCGTTGCCCCTTCCAAAGCATCGGCTTCCAGACGATATTGGCCAGTGTCATTTGGCAGTGCTAGGACCGCATCCTCTGCGATTCTCTTCTTCAATCCATCAAATGCCGCATGCTCATCTGCACCCCATGACCATCCTGCCTTTCCTGTCAGCCGTGTCAATGGCTTGGCAACCTCCGCGTATCCCCGGACGAAGCGCCGATAGAAGTTTGTGAACCCTAGAAACGCTTGGACTTGTTTGTTTTGGCGCAGGGCCATAAGCCGAGCAGCGGCGACTTGTTCCGCATTGGAGTCCCCGAACGCCCTCTGAAACTCCTCCAGGAAGTTCTTTGATGTGACTCCTGCCTTCAGTCCCTGGAAGCCCTCGAAGTTGTGCTGCTTCCAGTTCATTGCCCATCTCGAGGCAGCGCAGCTCGTGCCGTTCTCGTTACGGAGGTAGGAGAGGACAAAGAGGATTTTGGTCTCATCCTGCGAGAACTCCGATCGATAGGCACCGATGTAAGTGGTGCATGCGTCCACAAAGCCCAGGTATTTGGACTTGTCGCCATCGAAGTAGGGGGGATTGGCGGCGAGGGTGATGCGGTGATGCCCTGACATGGTAGGGGCAGGCGTGTGAGGTGGGGGCGAGGGTGGTTGTTCGGAGGGCAGTTCGTCGAGGTCGGGGATCTCGTCTTCAGGCGGTGGGAGGGCGAGGTAGGGGTTGGAGGGCCCGGGTTGGTTTTGATGCGCCAGATCGGGCGACGATGGTATGATGGGGGGAGGGGACGGACTCCCAGACGACGATGGGAATCGGTACGAAATGGTGGAATCGTGTGCTGTACAAGCACTCGAGGGAGGGTTCTTTTGCTAGCAAAAAGATCCCGGGCCTAACTCTTCACGTGCCCGATGATCCCGAGGTGCGTTTTCCCGAAGGTCTCCGCAGCACTCCTTGTAGCTACCGTAAGGCTTGGGTCGGGCTCAACGTTACCCGTGGCCTGGTGCTGTTTGCTTGATATGAACCCTTCACTGCGATAGTGGAGGACGACTAGATGATTCGGTAAAAGGGTGAGTGGGGTGATAAGGTTTTAAGAGGATATAGCGGGCGTAGCGGTGCGGGATGCAGGGTAAGAGGTATGAGGTAGGAGGGTATGAGGGGAGTCTTCGAATTATGTGACAATCAACCCAAAAACAAAGTCGAAAAGAGAAGTGAATTCGAAGACTGGAGAATACAACCAAATAGCTACAGTATTTATACCCAAGTCCAGTCTGAGTCATATCTACAACTAATGAGTCATAGGGCTATGTACCGCATGGAGCACTGGTCATGGGTTGTAGTAGAACCTTCCGGAGCATATGTCGCGCAGCCTCGAATCGATAGAGATAACCCCTGGAACCCCTAGCCCGGACCGTCTGATGCCGTGATCCGTGATAAGATAAGTCGTGCCAAGATAAGATAAGATCGCTGATGATAAGATGAAAAAGAGTCGAATTATGACAAGTGGATTTTATCAACGGTGTAGAGGATATAGCGGGCGTAGCGGTGAGGGATGCAGGGGTAAGAGGTATGAGGTAGGAGGGTATGAGGGGAGTCTTCCAAAATCCTCTTCATCCTCTCCTACCTCCACAATGAGGCCAGCACAAGCTGCGCCGCCTCAAGATGGGCGATGAACTGGAAACAGCGGAACTTTGAAGGCCTTAATGGAATGAAGGCTGGGGTCACCTGGACAACCTTCTTAGAGGAACTTCAGGGGGCCTTTGGGGACTCCAACGCAGAACAAGTCGCCGCCGCTCAACTCATGGCCCTACGCCAAAATAAACGATCCTTTGCGGACTATATCTCCGACTTCAAGATGCTGGCTGCAGACGCGAGATACAATGTGGTCACCACCACTGACGACAAGGGCGAGTACAAGAAGGGTGATCAAGACAACATCCTCATTGAGTTCCTCGAGCGCGGACTCAGTAGTGAGATCGCCAGTCGTCTCTACAACACCAGTGTCCCTCTCCCCAAAGTGTATGGAGCCTTCAAGGACTGGTGTGTCAACATCGAGGCGAACGCTCTTTGCGACCAGCTGCGCAAAGCGTCGTATGGGCACCCCACGCAACGACCACCTCCCCAATTCCGTCCTCAGGCTGCCCCAACAGCGCCTGCACCTGCTCCGGCCCGACCCGCTGCCAACGAACCAGTTCCAATGGAAATCGATCGCACCCATGCCCGCGGCCGCAATATCATCTGCTACAACTGTCAGCAGCTGGGGCACATTGCGCGGAACTGCCCGGAGCCAAGAAAGAAGCGCACGTTCTTTAATCGGGCCACGATACTGGAAGAGATCGAGAACAGGGACAAGGACAACGAGTTCCTCAAGGAGATCGCTGAGAAGCTGCGCGAGAAGGGTTTTTGAAACGCTCCACTCCTCTAGCCAAGGAGGTGGAGCGTCCAGACTATGGACGATTTTCTGTACTTGTTTCGATTAAAGACATGAACAATTCTACACATACATATACAATCTCGGACTCACTATGTACCAATATTCACGATTTTCTCATTGCCGATATGGAAAAAGAACGCCAAAGAAAAATAGCCTTAAATAGAGAGTATTTACAGAGTAAAAAGGATCAGAAGGCTGCGGATAAATTAATTTTGGACTCCTATGTATTTATGGCTCGTGGAGAAGGAACCACGTCAACAAAGACCGAAAAGGGGAGCATCGCTCCGGAGGCTCAATCCTTGGAAAAGGAGGAAGCGCCTAAGGAATCTGCCGAAATCAAGGTTCCAGAAGCACCCAAACGCACCAGGTGCCCGATGCCGTCCAGAGGAAATTGGCGGCCAAGAAACAGAAGGGCCCCCAGCCCAGCAGATTGGCGCAGGAATTGCGCAGTTACCAGGCTGAAAGAAAGAGGCATTCGATGGATGTATATGTCCAGATCACGGGTCTGGACTCGGGGAAAACACGCGGAGTCAAGGCGCTACTTGATAGCGGTTGCAGTACCTGCTGCATCAATACCGACTACGCACGGGCAGAGAAGCTGGATATCCAAGAGCTTCCGCAACCCATCGTGGCTCATAATGCCGACAACACCAAGAACATCAGCTGCCGGATCACACACTACGTCGACCTAAGGATGAGAATCGGTCCTCATGTGGAGATGCGCACGTTCCTTCTGACGTGCTTAGGGAAGGCCCGGATCTTCATTGGTCTTGATTGGCTGATGGAACACAACCCTGAGGTGGATTGGCAGGAGCAGACCATGAGATTCAGCCGATGCCCAGAACGGTGTCACATGAGGGGTCACGAGGAGCACCAAGCAATGATCGATATGGATGCAATTGACCTGGACACAGACACACCGGACCTGGAAGAGGGAGAATCGATCCTATTGGTCGACTTTGGGAAGGAAGTGGATCTACGGCTGAAGGAAACGCCGGCACAGAAATTCGCAGAAGAAGCGGAAAAGGAGAAGGAGAGGATGACTGAGGGGAAGATTCCAGATCAATATCGAGAATTTGCCAAAGTATTTGCCAAGGAATCATTTGACTCACTGCCGGATCGACGAACATGGGACCACGCAATCGAGCTCAAACCAGATTCTAAAGCAGTGGACTGCAAGGTGTATCCATTATCGCAAAATGAACAGGTCAAACTGGATGAATTCTTACAAGAGAACCTGGCCAGCGGACGGATCAGGCCATCAAAATCACCCATGGCATCAGCGTTCTTCTTTGTCAAGAAAAAGGATGGCTCCCTACGACCCGTCCAGGATTATCGGAAGCTGAACAAGATGACAATCCGAAATCGATACCCGCTACCGCTGATCTCCGAACTGGTCCATAACCTTTGCGGTGCCAAGTTCTTCACAAAACTAGACATCCGATGGGGATACAACAATGTATGGATCAAAGAGGGCGATGAGTGGAAGGCTGCGTTCCGCACAAACCGCGGGCTGTACGAGCCCTTAGTTATGTTCTTTAGCCTCACGAACTCCCCGGCGACCTTCCAAAACATGATGAACGACATACTCCGCGAACTAATCAACAAGGGACATGTGGTAGTCTACCTGGATGATATATTGATCTTCACAGAAACCTTGGACAAACATCGGCGGATCACAAAACAAGTACTCGAATTGCTCCAAAAACACAAGCTGTACCTGAAACCCGAAAAATGCGAGTTCGAACGCACAGAAATCGAATATCTGGGTGTAATTATCGGACACAATTCGATGCGGATGGACCCAGTCAAGATCAAGGGCGTGATGGAATGGCCAGAACCAAAGAGCGTCAAACAAGTTCAAGCTTTCCTAGGGTTCACCAACTTCTATTGGCGTTTTGTTTGGGGATATGTGGAGGTTGCCAAGCCGTTGACACAGCTGACAGGAAAAGCAGGATGGTCATGGGGTACAGATGAGCATGCAGCTTTTGATGGACTGAAGAAGAGAATCGCAGAGGATGCGGTCTTAGCACTGCCAAATGACACTGGCCAATATCATCTGGAAGCCGATGCTTCGGAAGGGGCAACAGGATCGGTTTTGAGTCAAAACCAAGACGGTGTCTGGCGCCCAATCGCATTTATTTCGCACGCATTGACCGAAACCGAGCGAAATTACGAGATCTACAACAAGGAAATGCTCGCCATCATGCTATCATTGGACGAATGGAGGCAGCTACTCCTGGGGGCCACGGAAACGTTTGAAATCTTCACCAATCATCAGAATCTTGAATACTTCTGGAAACCGCAGAAGCTCAATCGACGGCAAACACGGTGGATCACGGAGTTGGCAGAGTTTGATTTCACCTTACGACACCGGCCCGGCACACTCAACCGCAAGGCGGATCTCCTGTCTCAACGAGCGGATCATGATCAGGGCAAGAATGACAACAAGGACGTCACGTTGCTGAAGCCCGAGTTCTTCCGATCACAAGAAGTCACATTCCAAGGGCAAGATCAACAGCTGATCGATGAGATCAAGGCCCTTCGATCGATTGATGGGAGCGTCAAAGCGGCCTTGGAGAAGTCACTCGTCGGATGGAAGAAGGAAGATGGGCTCATCACGTATCACGGGAAGCTCTACGTGCCAAGGGATGAGGAGCTGCGGGACAAGATCATCGGGCTACACCACGACACACCCCTGGTCGGACATGCAGGGATCAACCGAACGCAGGAGATGGTGGAAAGGAACTACTGGTGGCCAAGGATGGGAAACCAAATTCAGAAATACATCCAGACGTGCGAGGCGTGCCAACGGACCAAGACCAAAAGAGCGAGGACGGGGACCCTGCACCCGCATGCGGTTTGAAACGCGCCCTGGGAAATCATCTCCATGGATCAAATTGGACCCCTACTGGTCAGTAACGAGTATGATGCAATCCATGTGTGGTGTGACACCTTCACCAAAATGATCCATGTCGAACCCATTAGTACTGACATCAGCAGCGAAGGAGTAGCACGGTTGACAAGGGACCGGGTTTTCCATTATCACGGGATCCCTCGCAAGATCATCACCGACAGGGACTCACGATACATCAAGGGCTTCATGAAGGAAACAAATCAGATGTTGGGCATGGAAATGAATCCAGGGACCGCATATCACCCAATCACGGATGGGCAAACCAAGCGTATGAACCAGGAGATCAAGCACTATCTCTGCATCTACGTCAACTATCATCAGACGGACTGGTCGGAGTGGCTGGGAATGGCGGAGTTCGCATATAACGACAAAATGAACACGTCTACCAAAATATCACCATTCTATGCGAATCACGGATATCACCCATGGAAGGGAGTGGAACAACGGATGGAATCGAGAAACGAGTCGGCGGAGGAATTTGTAAAAAGAACCAAAGAAATACAAGACGAAGCAAAAGCAGCATTGGAAAAAGCAAATGAAAAAATGAAAAAATACTACGTTAAACAAAGAAAAGAGGTTCCGGAGTTGAAGGTTGGCATGAAGGTGTACATAGAAGGGGAAAACATCGAGACGGATAGACCATCGAAGAAGATGAGCAACAAGAGACTGGGACCATACGAGATATTGGAGAAGGTTGGAGCGGCCGCATGGAAGCTGGATTTGCCAGATACAGACCAAAGACACCCGGTGTTCAACGAGTCACTGTTGACACCCTACCACGAACCACCCCCCCATCGCCAAGAAAAGAGACCCGTAGCCAAGATGATCGGAGGAGCAGAAGAGTGGGAAGTCAAAGAAATTGTGAAGGAACGGAACGTTGGCCGGGGAAAACAATACTTGGTCAAATGGAAGGGATGGCCGCATAGCGAGAACACCTGGGAACCATCACGTCACCTTACCCATGCGAAGAGTCCTGAAGGCTTGGCAGAGGAAACAATCCAACCCAGACACACACATTCGCCTCCTGCCAACGCTCGAAGCCGGACACTGGGATTATCTCATCCAACGCTACAAACCCAAAGACGAGTGCCTCCCATATCCCCAACGACAACTGTTTGACCCTTACAAAAACGTCTTCACACCCATTGGCCTAGTCAATGAGGACATCGACCCTAGAGAGGGGGTAATGTCATAGTTTGGCCACTTTTTCATCTTATCTTCGATGATCTTATCTTATCTCGGCACGAGTTATCTTATCACGGATCACAGCATCAGACGGCCCGGGTTAGGGGTTCCAGGGATTATCTTTATCGATTCAAGGCTGCGCGACATATGCTCCGGAAGGTTCTACTACAACCCATGACCAGTGCTCCATGCGGTACATAGCCTTATGACTCATTAGTTGTAGATATGACTCAGACTGGACTTGGGTATAAATACTGTAGCTATCTGGTTGTATTCTCCAGTCTTTGAATTCACTTCTCTTTTCGACATTATTTCTTGTTGATTGTCACACTGTGACATTGATTTGGCAATAACATGTGTCTGAGGACTTGGTGTCAAATGAGCAGCCACAGAGCATCAGATGAGTGGCCAATAATCAGCTGATCATCAGCCGATAGATATTTTGGGGTCCGATATGTGTGATATTGGGCTGCGCTTTTTTATGCTGCAATAGGGCCAATATTTTTGGTGTGTGTTGTGAACTTTTTTCACAAAGATTGAGCTGAGTAATGCACTAAAACATTTTGCCACTTTTGTGGGCAACATTATGGCGCCCGATCTGTTGATATTTGTGCCTCCAAATGAGTGTCAGGAATTTGATCCCAATATTTCCTTTATCTTGGCAACATTATTTGCCGCAATAGTTGATAAATTGGGGTACCTTTGACACATTACATAGTTTTAATATCACAATGTATTTTGTATTTAACCATTTGTTGCGAGTGAAGCGAGCAATCATCAACTAAGGGCTGCAGCTTGCACAAAACAAGAACAAATCCTCCGTACGCATCAGAAAATGGAATCCAAGTCGAACCGTCTCAAACTCGTTCAATTGTCCATATTTCTCTCTGAAACTTGGCAAATGAGTTTGAATACTATGTATCCTACAGAATCTCAAGTCTCATTCAAAATAATGAAGAATTGAGCCTGGTCAAACTGTACACTGAGCATCAGCCTGCACTCAACAAATTCTGCTCCGTTCTCCTTGGGAGTTGCACAGTAAGATGCTGTGTGTTGTATACCTGCAATCCTATACTTTGAGAGGTGTTGCACTGAGGACTCTGTCTGCCGCTGGAACTCGAGGCTGCCGCCTTCCCACCGACCGGTCACGTGGGATATTGGGATCAGTACGGATTTGGAGTCCCATACAATTGTTTTTGCACGTAGATATCCCCAATAGATCTGAGTTTAGTGCAAAAGTATGACTATGTAGTCTGCGAAGCGAGCACCCGGCGCTCTTGCGCAGATTCTATTTTACTGCAATATCTAAGATATAAATTTTTCATTGTGGGCCACACTAATCGTGATCTGCCGGAGTGAGATTATGAGGTACTTTGGACCCAGACAGGTGCTAAGGTAGGCCGCATGGACGATCCGCTCACATCACGTGGTGTTACATAGTGTGACTTGACTATCCCCGCCCCACCCTCAGTTGGGTGATTTAGCCGGTATTGGGCTAATGGCCTTGACAAACACAGTTTTCTCGGAAATCGGCCCGCACTAGGTTTTTCAATGAACCATTAGCCACATTTTTGTGCAGATACATCTCTAAATTAGGATTGCATTTCGCGGCCATTAAGAATTTTGGGGAAGTAACGCTTTTGTCACGCTTTGTCACGTGATGTGAGTAGATCGTCCATGCGGCCTACCTTAGCTAAGGGCTGAATGCAGTGATACGCCATGATTATATACGTCGTGGTGATGCCCTCGGGCATTCCGAATGCATCCCAAGGGATGGCTACTGCTGTAACCGTTTTGTTTTCTTCGGGTTTATGCACCGGCTTCAAGTGTAGAATGGACAAGGCCAGATCTGATGCACTCCTGTTTTCGGCCTCTTTTCGCAACGTTACAAGCTGACTATCCTTCTCAGACAACTTAGCAGCTTGCGCCATTTCCCATACTACTTGACTGTACTGTATTAATGATCATGAATGCACTCTCGCTCACCAGAATGACGGGTCTCATCACGCAACGACTTTTCTCTTCACGAACAAGACTCCTCCGCCAGACACTCTTCGTTCGCACCATCGCAGCGTCTCTGTCGGTTCCGGATTTCTGCCTGCAAGGCTGTAAAGCAGCGCACGATTTTGCTTTTCGCTCCCAAAGACCTCGTTTTCCTCGTGTTGGGAATAGTCTACGGCAAGCTCGTCGTCTGCTCGAACTGATTACACTAAAAATCAAGTCAAATGCACATGACGCGACCTTTCTCGAAGACAGCCATGGTGTCAAAATATTTCTGCACGAAGAATATGGCATTTTCGTCTTTGCTCGGCCGTTTCGATTCGGCGGAAGGATTCTTCACAATGGGGAGTTTGAGTCGGTCTAGACCGGAATCAAACAAGGCTACAGATACTGGCGAGTCCCTGAATGACCGGTCAGATTGATGGCAATACGAATGGTACTAATAGCCTACTTGCCGAGCCCTCCAACAAACGCCCAGACACGGGCTATCAAGCTCATATACGAGGACAGTGTCCAAGAATGCCGATCTGAATCCTTGAGTTTAGAACACGGTTGGCAACAGGATAGCCCACCGGGATTGACCTGCACATCCCCCAAGAAGTAGGCAGACAATTCGACGAGGACGACAAGTGACGGCTGACCCTCGAGCACAGTCTCAGAGGGGGTCTTGTCGACATCTGTAGAGAGCATAGACAGCAGAAATGCGAAATGGGCAGGAGTTGGGGGATAGCTAGACAGAAGTGTCATCAACCCACGGTGAACAGGCCAAAATCTGAGAGTCGCAGACTAGACCGTTGTGCACCAGGACAGCTCAAGCGTCCTTCCTTGCCCGGAATGTGTAGAGAGCCAAGCGTCGTTGTGTTCTTGAAGCGCGGCTGCGATGACTCCCTGTGAGGGCGTGATCAAGACGGCGCGCGTCCCGGGGAACAGAGTGGCGCGAGATAGTAAGAGGTGTACGGGTGCAGACGCGTGGTACGGCCCTGTGACCAGGATAGAGCGGAAGTCAGGGAGCGAAAGACCTGACTCGCAAGGAAACAGCGACGACATAACCAGGACTTGCGGTCGTGCCTAGAAAGAGCAGCAGCCTGAGTTCCACGACATTGTTTACATCAGTGGAAGTGTTTGTATGGAATCGTGCAGGCCGCGCAGGGTGATGATGCCCCAGGAGAGCTTACCTGGTGAACATGACCCGTGCGCCCTCGTTTCAGAACTCGCAGCACTTTTCTTGGAATAGCGGACTCGAAGCAATGCGATAAAATTGTGTAGATACAGCGATAAACTAGGTGTCGGGATACTCAACTCGGCGTACAGGAGGGATTTGATCGTCATCGAGCGCGACCTGGAAGTTGTACTAGAACAGGTGAGCATGGCAGCAAGGAGCATGAGCTCTCTGAACGCACCCCAAGAGGATAATCGCGGGACTCGGGTCTCGCCACTTTCCACTTGAACTGGGCCAAGTTGATCCTCCCGCCGATGCTTTCGAATTTGTCCACCATGTCCTTCAGTACGGTTTGATCCCAGGGAGACTCCGACCGCTGCGCTTCCGGCCAATTTTGAGGAACGGTGCGAGTCGGAAAGAGTAGAGGCCTAGTTGTAACTGCAGTGAGGTCACTGTCGTCTTCTGATTCGTCGTCAATGACTACAACACGGATCTTATCAGTTCTTTGATGCAGAACCCATCCGAAAACGCTCACAGATTGGGCTTGGAATGCCGTATAAGTAGTTGAACGACATGGAAAAGATCAATGCCGCGTTATAGCTGCGGCCCCCCGGCGTCTGAATCAATCTCTGATACCTGGGCAAGGGGGTGACAGCATCCTTGAATTCTGCAGCCGTAATCGTGTAGCCTACGAGGAAAGGAAAGGATGGTTTCGTGCGAGTGCGCCGTTTGGACTTCAGAGTAGAGGTCATTCTGACAGGGAGGGCGTGCCACGCCGCCGGACGGAGGGAGGGACGATGGTCTGTGCCACTTCAAGTTGATGAACGCGCTGTGGTATCTGTCAACTGTCAATCTGATCCACAATGCTATTATAATACTTTGATCCGGATTGGCCGTGCTGTGCACTCTTGGTGTTTGGCAGTCGGGACAGGGCGGTACAAACCTCTTGCCCTTTTACTTCACGTTCTCTTCTCTATCGCGGCACGATTGCCTTTTCTTCTCGTCTGTGTTGCGCGCCATGTCCTACCCTTTCAACAATACGCAGTATCATGCCGTGGGCAACAACAATGACTACGGCAATGCCGGGTATACCGCTCCTCAGGGAGGATATTCTGACTTCGCCAACCAGAATGGAAGTAACAACAATAGTAATACCTATTCGGCCTTCGAACATACCGACAGCTATGCGCCCTTCGCGACAACAAAGTCGACATCGAGGAAGAAATATGGCGTTGTATGCGAACTCAACCCCTGCTCGCACACCACTTCACTCATCGTGTTCAATTAGATCGGCGGTTCGGTCGTCGCTTTGATAATAGTGATCGCCGTTGGTGTTGGTGTTGGCGTCGTTGTCTCGCACAACCACAAGAACACGTCGGCGGCATCGTCTTCCAAATCCTCGAACTCAAGCTCCGCTCAACCGAGTGGCATCCCATCCACCATCTCAGTTACCAACGTCACTGGGCTGATACATTGGACGGACCCGAACGACCCGAGCACCTTCGTCAAGGACGACCGACTACACCAGTCGTTCTACGGATTTGCTTATACACCGTACGGCTCGCAGCTACCCTCGTGCGGTAATTCTCTTGGTGCGTGTGCCGTCGCATTCTAGCCCGTTTCTCTCCGCTGAGTCCCGGAAAGATCAGGTTATTGCGGACATACAAATTCTGTCCCAGTTGACGAAGCGCATCCGGTTGTATGGTTCTGGTGAGTCAAAGCGATCGTCGCTAACGAGGTAACATTGAAGCGCTTGACAGATTGCAACCAGACGGCCCTCGTTGTGAGTTGTTTTGAGTGTTCTATTCCTGCCACTTCAATGTGCTCTTCAGTTGGAAGCCATCAAGCAGACCAAGGTCGATATGAAGGTATTCCTCGGCAACTATCCTTCCCTGTCGGATGGCGGCGTTGCGTATGCTCGGCAACGCGATACGATGCAATCCGCTCTGCAGACTTATGGATCCACGAATGTCGCTGGAATCACTGTCGGCAACGAAGTCATCTTGAATTATCTCACGGACAACGGCGGGAGTCAACAGGATCCTAATGGGCTTGTCGGAAATCAGGCCGCAACTCTGCTTCTCGTGAATATCACAGATACCAAAGCGATGGTTCAGAGCCTCGGTCTGACGATCCCTGTCGGCAACTCGGATGCGGGCAGCTACTCAAACAACTTGATTCTGGCCCAGGTGGACTACTTCGTGAGCATGAACCGGGTGTCTCGTCTCCTCCATCGAACTTCTATCCTCAGATGGCGAACGTCCACCCTTGGTTCGCGAATACCGCAATTGCAGATGCTGCTTCCTGGACGGCCGACTTTTTCACTTCGACTGACGTTGCAGCAGTGAATGGCGTCAGCAATAAAGTGGGTGCTGAACGTTGATTCGATTGCTTCCGGCTCACTTTCTGTAGCCCACGGCATATATTGCCGAGACTGGATGGCCAACAGTATGTGATCCGCTGTATTAGCATCCGCTCTCGCCAGTTACTGATGCTGCCCCAGAACTCTTCGTCAGCTGCTGCCAAGACCAACGGAGCCGCCGACGCATCGGTGGCCAACCTTCAGGTCGGGCCCTACACTGCTGAACAATATGTGACATCTGATATCTGACAAACTTGAAGATATTTTTGGACACATTCGTCTGTGCATCCAACACCAACGGCACGGGCTACTTCTTTTTCGAATATTTCGATGAGGGTTGGAAGGTACGGGACTTGTCATTTGTTCACCCAAAAGCATTTCCCTGACATAACTTGATAGGATGCCCAATTTGGCGGTGTCGAGGGCTGGTGGGGAGTTTTCCACGCCAAGTTTGTTATTCCTCACAGAGCCACCTATTTTTCTCATTCACGTCTTTCTAGTCGCACCATGAAGGATGTCACAATCCCCACTTGCACCTTGTCATAAACGGACAGTTTCAATGCATCGGACATCGCAGCATCTAACACTTGTAATGAATATTAATGATTGGACTCTTTGCATAAATCTAACTTATATCCCACCTTGTGTTCTGCTTGTAGTGACTGAGACTGTAGGTAGTACTGACCTCTACACTGTTTTTGCCGCATCAACGGATCTGCTCTGATGGAAAGCAAACAGGTTTACACAGCCTCACCTGCGGCTTGCCTGCATTCACCCTCAGGGATGTTTGACCCACTCAGTTCTGGCGGGTTTGAGGACGACGACGCAAACGATGCACCGCCATGGCCGACTACGCCCCACCCACCGAACTCTCCAATTCCCGGAAATCTTCGTCGGGCGTCGACACCTGTTCCATCACAAGCACCCGACTCCGCCACCGCCTTCAAAGGCCCGTCACTTGGGCCGTTCGGGCAGGAGGCGCAGATCTACGGGCAGCCCGAGTCGGGATTGATATCACCGCGGGACGCTGTGGCGCCTAATGGCAAACACTACGAGAAGTCTGAACCGTATTTGCGAGTGAGGATCACTGGGCTAGATCGGAATAGACGGGATATTCTGGTCAAGTTGGATGCGCAGGTCCGTCCTTTACAAAAACCCTGCTATCCGCGTACTGGGACTCACGTGCTATTGCCGCTAGACGAACCTGTCCAACTTCACGGGGAACACGTACCGCAACGTATCGCGCTCGTACCTCGAGTTCCAGCAATTCTACGACGCGATCATCCACAACAACCCGCAGACGATCGTCCCTGCTCTCCCGCTCGCGCAGACGTCGGCGCCGACGGACGAGGAGGACGACCGTCTCGTGCGGATCATGCTCCAGCGGTGGATCACGCGCGTGTGCGAGGACCCGATTATGCAGGGCGACGAGGATGTGCGCGCGTTTATTGAGAATGACTTCGGCTTCCAGCCGACGCCCCGGCCCCGTCGGAAGGCCTCGTCTGGGTTTGCGATCATGCGCAAGGCTGTGCCGGATGAGGATGAGGATCTGCAGAGGGCGAGGTTCGAGCTGACCAAGTTGGAGGGCCAGTTCTTCGACACGGCCAAGTCTGTTGATAAGCTTTCTCTCGCGAGGAAATGTACGTCAATGTCGTCGCCTTCTCGATGTGCTTATCTGGAGAGGTTGCTGACTGGGTCTTTGCAGCGCTGGCTGTTGCTCATGCGGAGATGGGAAACAAGCTTATCAATATCGCCACAACAGAAGCGCACCCACCCCTGGGCAACGCTTTCCGCAAAATTGGACGAGGATGGCACAGTTTAGCTGACCTCGACCAAGCGCAAGGAATCAGCGAATGTGTGATTCTCGGAGACTCGCTGGGGTATCAAGGCATGAATGCGCGGTCGGCTAAAGAGACCTTGTTGATGCGGACTGGGGTTTTGGAAGAGTATCAAGCTGCTGTCAAGTCCACGATTTCGAAACGCCGGCAGATCGAGCGACTCAAGGCGAGTTCCAATATTCGACCAGAACGGGTGGACGAGGCTTTGGACGAGATCGAGGAGGTCTGTGCTACTGATACAGCATAAAATGCACTGAACTGACATAACTTCTCAGGCCAACAAATATGAGCAAACGCTGGCTCGCAGAGCACAGGGGATTTCGCAGAACCTGCACCAGGCTTTGGAGTCCCACAACCGCTACGCCAATGATGACATCACCACTGCTCTCATTGAACACGCTCGGTCCTCAATCATGTATGAACGGCAGCTCCTTCGCGAACTGGAAGCGCTGCGCGTGGATGTGAGCAAGGCTGCGGACGCGTATGTCCCCCCAACGAACGGTGCTCCCAAGGTGCCTGTCATTCCTGGGCTCGAAGAGTCATTGAAACCGACCCCGGCGCGAACAACGGTTGCTCCACCAGCCGCTGCAGCTCCACCCGCTTCGGCATTCGTTCCTAGGCCTCCTTCAGTCATCGCGCCTATCGCAGCAGCTTCAGCTCCGCCTGGGGCCACGGATCCTCTTTCAAACGGCAGCTCTTTCTTGCCTGGGCAGCAGAACATCCCTCCACGGATTGCCACACCCCAGCGAGCTCCATTCCAGTCATTCGGGCGATCTTTAACCGTATCTCAGCCTTACCCCAGCAATCCGTTAGGCTCACCGGGGCCGCCGTCCGCTTCATCAACGAAGGGACTGTATGACCGGCGGGAAATTGTGACACCTTCGTCTTCTCAGTCGTCTCTTCCCTATCATCCGAGCCCAGCACAATCGCCTGTGCCGCCGCCATCAAACGAGCCGCCATTGGGCGGACGTCTGGTGGAGCCCTCTAAGTCGATGTTCATCAAACCACCCTCGGCGGCAAATCCATCTCTGCAGCCCTCGATATCGTCGCCGCTGGTGCCCTCTCCGGTCACACCAAACGGGCCCAGTGGCGGGTCTGATCCGCTGTCCGCATCCGGAAGCAGCTTCGTGCAGTCGCGGGGTCTCCAAAATGGGCGCAGCAGCGCACTTGGTAGCAACCCACTACAGAATGGGCTGGACCCGCTTGGTCAGATGCAGCCGGTGGCCGTGTCCGCGACAGTCCGGACTCCGCAGCGCCCGCGATTGGATGCTCGGGACGCCGCGAAAAGTCTAGCGAACATGTTCTAAACTTCTAGTTTTTTGTACTCGTACCAAGCAACCAACCCTTCGGATTTCGGAATCACTTCTGCTTATTACTCTAACCTGCTAAACTATTGAACGCTAATTCACAGACTATGATTCGCTTCCGCAATCAGCTGTTGAGGGCGCTCATTCGGACTTGTAGAGCGTGTCCGAGATTCCCAAAGGCAGGCAAAGACATGAGGATAGCTACGATGTAGATGCTTCTGAACTGGACGACTTGCCATGGTGGCAATTCCGATCTATCGGCATGATTCGTGCAGCCTAGTGCAGATGGCTTGCACATTGCATGCAAGTTGGCGCTGAGAAAGTCCTCAAGCACTGGTGCAAATCAAGATTAGATGGGGATTCATGGAGCTGTCTATTGGAATACAGGTCCCGTTCCATTCAGTGCGCTGGTATCCTATGGCCTAGTCAACTGTTGCACCTTGATCACGCTATCATCGCCGACGTCTGTCCGCTAGTCAAGCAAATACTGCGCATGCGAGGTTCTACTAAGTCCTGGCTGGAGCAGGTAGGAAAGTTCGCCTGCAAACATATGAGCGCTGTCTTGAATACAAGTGATGGCCGGCAGACCTATTCAGAATAAGGCCCTTCAGCGTCCGGATCTCCTTTCTCAGTTCTTCTTCCGCAGGTGGGAGAGTAGCCCCTGGTCCCATACGCCCGCCGACCGACATGTACGGTGCGTAGATCTGAGACGATATGTAGCCCGTCAGATCGGTCATCGAATTCAATGCGTGCTGCATCGCGCTTTTCTTTTCAGATGCTGGTTTGGGTATCGAGGCATGAAGCGCGGAGAGAGACTGCGACAGCGCTGTGGGCGGAACTGGTTCTGGTGCGACGTATTTCCAATTCACTGTGCCTTCGCGTTCGGAAGCGCTCACAGGGCTCGAAACAAAACACGCCGTCCCTGAGAGCGTGTTCCACAATTGTTGCTATGCATAATAGTCAGACAGCACTCGAGGAGGAGGACCGGGTTTGTGAACGCACCTCGAAGGGCACACCTTCTTCTAATAGCAACCACGGCAACTTGCCCTCCATGACCCGGAACACCTCGACCGTTGTTGGTTCCCTAGTCTGGTCGCTCCCTTGATAGTCCGAAATCGCACATCGGAGCAGGGAGACGTTCGGGAATTCGGACAAAGGTGTCTGGGGGCCCAGGTCTTTTGCTGCCTTGAGCAGGGCTTCCAGAGTACCGCATGCAGCAAGCGCCGGAGGCTCTTGGGAGCTCTTGGGAGGTGGGAGGATAGCTGCCGTCTGTGCTTGAGACTCCTTGAGGCTCGTGAGCGATGTGTTGAGCTTGCGCATGAGATCGAGCTGATGCGACTTGAGGGCCCCCCTCGCTTTGAATGTTTCTATGACACGAGGAAGAAGAAACCGCTGGCGTGGCAGAGGTCGATGGAGAGTCTCGAGAGCAGTTGCGCGACACGCACGTAGTAGATGAATGTCAGCACCACCGAGCCCCCAGCAATCCAAGAGAATATCCTGGCCAGACCCAGCAGCAGCATCGGAAGCGGCGACGGTGGTGGCTGAGGATAGCTGCGAGGAGGGACCGTCGGTCTGCGCACGAGCTGTATGGCATTACTGTGTGCCGAGACAGAAAGCAAGAGAGGGCGACGCACGGGCTCCTTCATTAGCCTATCTATCTCAGACGCGCCCAGTCCCTTGTCTACCAGGAACTTCCGCTTTGCTGCGGGGTCTTCGTGTTGGATTTGCGGTTGTTGCAGGAAGGCACGCGCTTTGTCGAGAAGCGAAGCCGAGTCCGATGCCGGTGCCGGCGCAGCATCAGTGCTAGCATCAGGCTGCGAAACTTGAGCAGGCTCTGAAGAAGCAGCAAAGCCTGGTGAAGGAGGAGCGTCCTCGCTCGAACTCATAGCGCCGGGAACGGGAGGAAGCGATCGAAATCAAAACACTCAATAACAATCGAATATCAGCTCGAAAAGGAAGGTCTTGGCAAGTCTAGGATTTCACATGGCAGAACGAGTAAATGTGATTCAGGTGAGTAGTGGATAGGAATAGTAATCCTTTGTCCATCAGCTCCAATTTCCGTTCGCATTATGTTATTCCTTCTTCATTGGAGCAGTTGTGATTGCGTGGATTCCGGGAGCGGTTGTTCCTTCGTCGGAGTCCGAGTCATCGTCGTCCAGAGAGATAAAGCGCCGACCGTCACGCTAGACTATGCATCTAATCAAATGCCAGGGAATATTGAGCAAACGCTTACAAAAGGAGACCGTCGTCCGCGAACTATTACCGCAGTCCCGATTGCCATGGACGAAGCTCGGTTCATTGAAGTGCGATTGATGACAGCCTTGGCTTTGACAGGGAGAATCGATGGCGTCCACTTGGGCATAGATTTGAGCAGTCTGGTCGAAGATTTGATTGGAGAGAGCAGAAGTGGAGGAGCAGACACGACAGAAGAGCTCTGAGCAGACTCTTCGGGGCTTGAAGAGGCCACTACGGTGGGGGCATCGGTCTTGTTCAAGGGCAAATCGTGCAGGGGGTGCCGAGCGACGGATTGAGGCTGAAGCATGCCCTTTACGGGAGGGTGACCAGGCCC